AACATATGGACATGGAAGGTTGATATTAGAAACCATAAAAGGTCCGAGGGAGTGATCTTTTATCTTTTGAGAGCAAGAAACTAATGTATGTACAATATCTTCATTGTTTAACCGACACATGGATTTGACACCAGGGCCCAACACAAAAAATGGGCAGTTAAATATGAAAGGGAACTAGTCCTCACCTTCTGAATCAGACTGATGGCATTTACAGCTATAATCGGTCGAAGATGGTAGAAAGCAGAGTATTTGCGAAGGGCATGATCCATCTTACATACATAACTCCATATGCCTTTTGCAAAGGCCAGCTTTGCAATTTCCACATTCAAACCAGCATCTTCTTGGTGTACCATTTGGATCTCACATGCATTTCTACCAAGTACTGCAAAAAGAGAAGTCATACAATACAACCAAGTAACTCAGTTCGTTGTCACCTCGGGTGAGACGCTGATATCAGTTTTATTGATGTTAAGCACCTCAATTGCTAAGGAACCAAATACTTTTTTTTTTTTTTGATAAATAAGGAACCAAATACTTGGGTTAAGGGTACAAATGACAAATGAGTAGACTCAACCTGTTCTTGAACTGTTCAAGCCAGCTTGAATAAACTTGTCATCAGCACTCAAGCTGATCATTTGGCCCTTCTTTTTCCTCCAACAGCCCACTCATACTTTCACCTTAGTGCCATAATCCAATAGTTACATAGGTACCTATCCCAATTAGGGCTGCAAAGCGAACCATGCTACCTGAGCTCGGTTCGAGATTGACTTGTTCGCAATCGGTTTGTGTGCTAAACTTGAACACATTTTTAAGCTCGTCAATTTTTTAAGGGTAAATTACATCCACCTCTTCTGAGGTTTGATCAAATAACAACAAGCCCCTTTCTTGTTCGAAAAATAACACTAACCTCCCTTCTGCTTTTGTTGTCTGTAACAAGTTGCCCCTATCGTTACTGTTCCGTCAAGAAATCATTAGTGATTTGATGATGTAAGCAATTTATAATTTAAAATCCCAAAGTTACCCTCACATATTGAATTACTTTCTTAAAAAAAAAAAGTAATCGAACCAGATAAGAATAGTTTTAAACCTAAATAAACTCTACCTTATGGCCAATCAACCAATCCAACAATTTACCAAAACTCGGCTAGATTGTGGAGTATGTCGGTACGTCGGCTTTGGGATGCCCTTCTGTGGCTAAAACTTTCTCTCACGAGATGCCCTTCTATGACCACACCACCTTCTAAAGCATTCATCTTCTCCATTTTTTTCCCGTCTTGTTGTGGTGGTCATCGTGGTGGTCGATTGTGGAGTGTGTCAGTGCATGGGCTTTGGGTGTCTGATCGGGCATAGAACTAGAGGCAAGGCGATGGAGGGGTGGGTTTCTTCTTGGTGGGTGGATTTTCTAGTTGTGGTGGTTTTCGCAGGTTGTGGGTAGAGTTTGATTGTGTTTTATTGGGTGGTATTTTTGGTTTGAGGTGGGTGGTGCAACGGTGACAATGGTGGGTGTGTTGTAGTGGCGTTGCTATTGATTCGACCATGGGTGAGTGGTGGAGGCGATATGCAGGTGGCTTGGGTACTTTTTGTGATTTNTGTTGTGGTGGCGTTGCTATTGATTCGACCATGGGTGAGTGGTGGTGGCGATATGCAGGTGGCTTGGGTACTTTTTGTGATTTTTGGTGGTGGATTGAACACANCTAAATATAATAATTTAAATTTAAAGGATTTAAGTATTATATACTTACAAATTTTAAGAGGTTTAAATGTAATTTATTAACGAATATATTTACCGCAAAGATTTAAGTATTACGTGCACACAAATTTTAGAAGATCTATGTATGATATTTTAAATGTCAAATAGTTTAAATGATTAAATGACAAATCTCATACAATTCTCCTTTTTATACAACTAGAATAAAACTTATTAAAGTGTCCACTGAAATAACTTTTTCTGCCTCTGCCTCTGCCTCTGCCTCTGCCTCTGCCTCTGCCAGGGAGAGTGGGATGCACAGANTACAGTTTGGTAACACTTTTTTAAGTATTTTTTTGTCTTCTGTTTTTTAAGTTGCGTTTGTTTTTTTTTTAACTTTTTCCTTGTCGGGGTTTACTCCTAGGGCTATTAATCGAATAGAGCTACTCGAGTTCAGCTTGAGTTCGGCTCTTCAGGCTCAGTTCGTTTTCTAAACGAGCCCGAACTTGAACAAGTTTTTAGGCTCGTTTAGAAAACGAGCCCTACAAGTTTGGCTCAAACTCGACAAGCTTGGCTCGTTTATGTGCAAATATTCGGGTTCGGCTCGTTTTGTAAACGAGCCGAACTTGAACAATTTTTAAAACTCGATTAAGAAACAAGTTTTTCAAGCTCGGCTCGAACTTGACTCGAGTTCATTCGACTAACAGTCCTATTTACTCCCATCCTCTAACTTTAATCCAATGTATTGTACTACACCTATATACATATACGTGTATTATTTATATCTGAAAATGTATCAAGAATTCTAGATCACTTTTGCAAAATATTAATTAAATATGTTGTCTACTTTTTGCTCAAAATTGTGCTTTGTGCAGTTTGGTGGAGTGCTCTGATATATGTAACTTGATTAAAGATGGTGATGATGGACCTTAACCTGTATTTGATTCATCGATTTTGGCTTTTAGAATTTTTATAGAAGTCTATAGTTTTTCCAGATACTTGTTCATTATAATCTGTCATGTGCTAGTTCCAAGAAAGTGGCGATGATTCTTCATATGACTTTCTTATCTGCTGCTGATGTGGAGGATCTAATTTTAACTGTTTTTAAGGTTGAGTTGAGGCAATATTAAAGGGATGCTAGTTTTTAAAGTAATGGTCGCTAATTTAGTCGTAGAAAGCGGACAACCAACCTTCTTTATTTCTTCTCTTTTCCTCTCTTTTTTTTCCTATGATTAGAGAACTCCAAATTTACCAGGAGATGGTTACCCGGAGAGACAAATTGATAACCACACAAACATAAGACTTCAATCCGCATGTGACTTGTTTTATTCCGTTGTATTCAAATAGAGATTTTATTATGCTAACTATTTGTATAACAAGGTGCTATCTTGTTTATTCCAAAACAATTTGTGGGGACCTGATGTAGTGGGATCGTTTGTTGCTACAACCTCTAGCAGATGATTTGATAATTGATTTCAAAAGAGCATACCTCACGACATAGTGATAATTAAGTATGGTTGGTCTAGGCATTGTACCTGTTGGTTGTTGATGGTTTTATCAGATACAAACAAAGGTTTTTCCCTTTAATCTCAATTTTTATTTAGCAAAAAAAAAAAAAAGGAGCTTGGATTTTTTTTTTCATGGTCGATAATTGGGTATCTCGCATCTCTGTTTTAATCAATTGGTCCAAAGTTGTAGGCTTTGAACTCTCTTCGTTGTCCTTCAGTGAGTGCTTGAAAGAATCATGGTCCACTACGTTTGCACCTCCAACTGTTGCTTTGATATGTGCCTAAGGCTTCATCATCTTGTTAGCATGGTTGTTAGGCCTACAATTCTAATACCAGCCTTATTTTGGCCTTGACCTTTTGGTTTTGATTTTGACACCGTCCTTTTACCATTCCCATTGAATTACTGTTACCCTTTTTGATGGTATTGATGAGAATTCTAGCATTGCATGTTGAAACCTCGCAAAACTTTTTAAAACAAGAAAAAAAAAAAGTAACCTGGATTTCACATTAATTTTATCAATTATTATTTTCAGCTAAGAAGATTGTGAAGACTCCATTGCTTTAACTAAATGAGTAATAAAGGTGTTATACATGCACACAGCCAGCTATTATTTTATACGGGAAGAATTACACCCAAATTTTTTAACGTTTGTCACTTATTCACTCCGACTTTGTGACATTTGAAATATTACATACAGACTCTCTAAAGCTTGTATGCACGTAATACTTAGACTCTCTGAAATTTAAAAAAAAAATATTTCAATTAAAGATAAAATATCAAATATTTTAAATTTTATAATTAAAAATTATGTTCTATTATGTCATTTATTGAAATAAAATTAAAATTTTAATTTTAATTTTTTAAAAAAAAATCATAATCAGTATATAATTATATTGTCTATTATAATTTTAATTTGGTTGTTTAAATAACTAAATTTAAATACCAAACTATCTCAATCAAAGCTAAAAGTTATTGTGTTTATTACAATTTGAACTTTTATTTAATTTTTTTATTTTATTCTAATAGATAGTATAATTATATACTAATTATGATTTTTTTTTTAAAAAAAACTAAAATTTTATTTTATTTAATAAATGACATAATAGAATATAAATTTTAAATGTAAAATTTATATTCAATGAATGACTTATAACTCTTGTTGGATTTTTTTTGTTTTATTCCAATAAATAGTATAATTTTATACTAATTACAATTTTTTAAGAAAAATTAAATTTTTAATTTTAATCTTATTTCAATAAATTATACAATATGACATAAATTTTAGTTATAAAATTTAAAATATGTGATATTTTATCTTTGATTGAAATATTTTTTATTTAAATATAATATTTTAAATTTAAAGAATTTAAGTATTATATACTTACAAATTTTAAGAGGTTTAAATATAATTTATTAACGAATATATTTACCGCAAAGATCTAAGTATTACGTGCACACAAATTTTAGAAGATCTATGTATGATATTTTAAATGTCAAATAATTTAAATGATTAAATGACAAATCTCATACAATTCTCCTTTTTATACAACTAGAATAAAACTTGTTAAAGTGTCCACTGAAATAACTTTTTCTGCCTCTGCCTCTGCCTCTGCCTCTGCCTCTGCCTCTGCCAGGGAGAGTGGGATGCACAGAGAAGTGAAATATTCATTAGAAGAAAAAAGAAAAAAAAAACTTCTTCAAAATATATGGGGAAGCAGAATTCACCCAGATTGTTACAATTACGTGGTGCATATGTGTTCACGTGACATGCCATGGCCAATCAACCCCGAATCCTTCCGAATCTCTATGGCACCAAAGCTTGCCGGCTTTGACTTGATGAAGCTCCACGCTTGGTCAGCTTACTCAATATGTATGCCATGGCAACCTTCGCACCCAAGTTAGACTGACCACGAGAAAGGCAGATCACACCCCCTAGAAAAATCAGTCCATTGGCGATCAATTTATTTGAAGGCCTCAGGAGTTTCTTCCTGCTGCGTTCACAAGCAACCTTGCAACAAATAGCACTTGCTGTTGAGGTTTCTGGATGATCTGCGCTAGAAATGTTTATGGTATCCAATTCAGGAGGAACCTACATGACAAAATAAGGATACTGTGTGAACAGAATCAGCATTTCATACAGACTATTAGAATTGCCTGGAAATTAGTAATTCGAACCATTTGAACCAAGCATCATACCATTGCATTAGTATTCCCCTGTACTAAAATCAATTGTTCTCAAGAATCCAAACAGCTAATTCTTTTGCCAGACAGCAAATTGGCTACCCTGGTTTAGCTGATAAATCAGTTTGTATAGAACACTACTTAAGCAGAACATATGGACATGGAAGGTTGATATTAGAAACCATAAAAGGTCCGAGGGAGTGATCTTTTATCTTTTGAGAGCAAGAAACTAATGTATGTACAATATCTTCATTGTTTAACCGACACATGGATTTGACACCAGGGCCCAACACAAAAAATGGGCAGTTAAATATGAAAGGGAACTAGTCCTCACCTTCTGAATCAGACTGATGGCATTTACAGCTATAATCGGTCGAAGATGGTAGAAAGCAGAGTATTTGCGAAGGGCATGATCCATCTTACATACATAACTCCATATGCCTTTTGCAAAGGCCAGCTTTGCAATTTCCACATTCAAACCAGCATCTTCTTGGTGTACCATTTGGATCTCACATGCATTTCTACCAAGTACTGCAAAAAGAGAAGTCATACAATACAACCAAGTAACTCAGTTCGTTGTCACCTCGGGTGAGACGCTGATATCAGTTTTATTGATGTTAAGCACCTCAATTGCTAAGGAACCAAATACTTTTTTTTTTTTTTGATAAATAAGGAACCAAATACTTGGGTTAAGGGTACAAATGACAAATGAGTAGACTCAACCTGTTCTTGAACTGTTCAAGCCAGCTTGAATAAACTTGTCATCAGCACTCAAGCTGATCATTTGGCCCTTCTTTTTCCTCCAACAGCCCACTCATACTTTCACCTTAGTGCCATAATCCAATAGTTACATAGGTACCTATCCCAATTAGGGCTGCAAAGCGAACCATGCTACCTGAGCTCGGTTCGAGATTGACTTGTTCGCAATCGGTTTGTGTGCTAAACTTGAACACATTTTTAAGCTCGTCAATTTTTTAAGGGTAAATTACATCCACCTCTTCTGAGGTTTGATCAAATAACAACAAGCCCCTTTCTTGTTCGAAAAATAACACTAACCTCCCTTCTGCTTTTGTTGTCTGTAACAAGTTGCCCCTATCGTTACTGTTCCGTCAAGAAATCATTAGTGATTTGATGATGTAAGCAATTTATAATTTAAAATCCCAAAGTTACCCTCACATATTGAATTACTTTCTTAAAAAAAAAAAGTAATCGAACCAGATAAGAATAGTTTTAAACCTAAATAAACTCTACCTTATGGCCAATCAACCAATCCAACAATTTACCAAAACTCGGCTAGATTGTGGAGTATGTCGGTACGTCGGCTTTGGGATGCCCTTCTGTGGCTAAAACTTTCTCTCACGGGATGCCCTTCTATGACCACACCACCTTCTAAAGCATTCATCTTCTCCATTTTTTTCCCGTCTTGTTGTGGTGGTCATCGTGGTGGTCGATTGTGGAGTGTGTCAGTGCATGGGCTTTGGGTGTCTGATCGGGCATAGAACTAGAGGCAAGGCGATGGAGGGGTGGGTTTCTTCTTGGTGGGTGGATTTTCTAGTTGTGGTGGTTTTCGCAGGTTGTGGGTAGAGTTTGATTGTGTTTTATTGGGTGGTATTTTTGGTTTGAGGTGGGTGGTGCAACGGTGACAATGGTGGGTGTGTTGTAGTGGCGTTGCTATTGATTCGACCATGGGTGAGTGGTGGAGGCGATATGCAGGTGGCTTGGGTACTTTTTGTGATTTTTGGTGGTGGATTGAACACAGTGGTGATGGTAGATTGGGTGGTGTTGCTATGTTCTTGGATTTGGTTTGAGTTTGTGATTAATTTAATTTAATTAACAATTAACCGAATTTGGTATGAATTTAAGGACAAAATTAATTTGATTTGATTTTAGATATAAATATTATTCAATAAATTAATTAATTAGATTTGGTTTGGGTTTTGGGACAAAATTAATTTTATTAATGGAATAAATAAGATTTTGTTTTCATTTAGGAATCACTTCCATTAATTAAGTAATTTTTTTCCTCGAGTTATGTGTTATATATTGATATGATGTTGCAGTTTTTATTTGGATGTTGTAAAATTAAGTAAAAGTTAATAAGTATAAAATATTTTGGATTGAGGATATCATAGTCATTTTCTTGTTGCCGTTAGCAAAATGGAACAATCAATGTTATTTTTCAAACAAGAGGGAGCCTAGTTGTTATTAACCAAATCTCAAGGGAGGGAGCTTGACACAAGTTTAAGATTAGCTCACAAAATAAAAGGGTCAAGCTTTGTTCAAATTTCAAACCAAGCTTGAGCAAACTACTTTGTTTTTTTGGGAGTGGGAGGGGGAGGGGGAGGGGGCTTAAACCCTTGACCTCAAAAAGTTAAAACCTTCACAAGATAAGGAGTATCATTAGATCAAAGGCCCATTGGTTAAGCAAACTACTTGGGTCAGCTAATTGTGGGCACCTTTCTTATGTTTTGTGGGTATTTTTTTTTTTTCTTTTGGTGGAGATCAAAAATCAACACCTGCAGCTCATTAAAAGGACTGTCATCATGTTCTAACAGTTAAATTAATCAAATAACAAGTTTTGAAGGAAAAGGGAACCTGATTTCTTTAAGATGGTCCTGCAAAACAATGAGAAGAATAAAAAAAAAAAAAGAGTCAGGAACTTGCCTTTCCTGATTCTCCAGCCAGATCTAAAGAACCCAACCCGTACATACTTCTTCTGTATCGGAGCCATAGGATGTTCACACCCCTGGCAATGTTCACAGAAAAAATTAATGAATAGTAAAAATCAGTCAACCCCCAAAGACACATAAATTCGCACAGGGATAAAGAGAATCACAAGCTTATAAGCAGATTTGGCATTCCAAGCATTGTCCAATGGCCCTTTTGTGTCTAACATAAATAATTAGTTATAAAAAATAAAAAAAATCATATAGTGAAAATGCATAGAACTTTAAACATCATACTATCCAAAACTGCCTAGCTTCGATATTGGATTGGCCCGTGATTATATTATATACATTGTTACTAAAACTAAAACTATCTAATCTCAAGCTAACTCAACTCAACACTAAAATCTTTAACCTCAACCTGAATGTTCATTACGCAATAGCCAATAACATAATCAAACTTTCTAAAATTGAAATAGTTCACTAAGCACCATATGTAAGAATCATTGACTTCTTCCAAACATTCTATATATGAAGTGTCATTACAACAAAGTATGTCCATACATTCAGTGCACACTGCATATCCAGCCACATCAAATGACATTTCATTGGATGTAAATAAGCACGTAACTAAATATGCAAAATCAGGATAAACAATTTGCAGAATCATTAATTGGGCTTCAACTCAAATAGATTGCAACTTATTGAGACCAGAGCACGAGCAATGCAATTTCTTTCATCTCTTTTCCATTCAAAACTAATTTCAAAAATCTAGTTTTCCTATAAACACCAAATTTGGACAATGAGGTGAAAACTTAGAAGAGTAGACAAAAAAATTTTAACAACACATCAGGCACATATCCAATATAATCAGCATCCTGATCAGTATACCAGGATGAGTGGGGAAATAGCTTGGGCAAAAACTGTTTAAAGATTTCTCTCAACTATGAAGCCTTCAAATCCTGCCTCATCATCAGAAAACAGGTTCTTTCCATGGATGGAAGAACTAAGTGCTTTCAAGCACCTAAACATGCAGAAAAGGATTTAACTTCTGAAGCTATTTGAGATTGGACTGCCATTATACCAAACAAATGATATGTCTGGCTAATACTTTAGCTGCATGAAAACTCACTACTTGAACTGCATTGTGGATGTTTCCGATCGATTTGGTGCGGGAATTGTATGAAATCAGGGGCAGATCCAAAATTCTAGTTTAGACGGGGCAAAAATAAATAAGGAAATAATAGCTAATATAAACAAGTAAATTGTTAAGATTCATGATTAATTATTATATGGATCATAAAACCATTTCATTAATAAATCAAAGCGGAACNGCTTGGCTCGTTTATGTGCAAATATTCGGGTTCGGCTCGTTTTGTAAACGAGCCGAACTTGAACAATTTTTAAAACTCGATTAAGAAACAAGTTTTTCAAGCTCGGCTCGAACTTGACTCGAGTTCATTCGACTAACAGTCCTATTTACTCCCATCCTCTAACTTTAATCCAATGTATTGTNGTAACCTGGATTTCACATTAATTTTATCAATTATTATTTTCAGCTAAGAAGATTGTGAAGACTCCATTGCTTTAACTAAATGAGTAATAAAGGTGTTATACATGCACACAGCCAGCTATTATTTTATACGGGAAGAATTACACCCAAATTTTTTAACGTTTGTCACTTATTCACTCCGACTTTGTGACATTTGAAATATTACATACAGACTCTCTAAAGCTTGTATGCACGTAATACTTAGACTCTCTGAAATTTAAAAAAAAAATATTTCAATTAAAGATAAAATATCAAATATTTTAAATTTTATAATTAAAAATTATGTTCTATTATGTCATTTATTGAAATAAAATTAAAATTTTAATTTTAATTTTTTAAAAAAAAATCATAATCAGTATATAATTATATTGTCTATTATAATTTTAATTTGGTTGTTTAAATAACTAAATTTAAATACCAAACTATCTCAATCAAAGCTAAAAGTTATTGTGTTTATTACAATTTGAACTTTTATTTAATTTTTTTATTTTATTCTAATAGATAGTATAATTATATACTAATTATGATTTTTTTTTTAAAAAAANTCTTTTGGTGGAGATCAAAAATCAACACCTGCTCATTAAAAGGACTGTCATCATGTTCTAACAGTTAAATTAATCAAATAACAAGTTTTGAAGGAAAACGGAACCTGCTTTCTTTAAGATGGTCCCNCTTTTGGTGGAGATCAAAAATCAACACCTGCAGCTCATTAAAAGGACTGTCATCATGTTCTAACAGTTAAATTAATCAAATAACAAGTTTTGAAGGAAAAGGGAACCTGATTTCTTTAAGATGGTCCCGCAAAACAATGAGAAGAATAAAAAAAGGAAGAGTCAGGAACTTGCCTTTCCTGATTCTCCAGCCAGATCTAAAGAACCCAACCCGTACATACTTCNTTAAATATAATATTTTAAATTTAAAGAATTTAAGTATTATATACTTACAAATTTTAAGAGGTTTAAATATAATTTATTAACGAATATATTTACCGCAAAGATCTAAGTATTACGTGCACACAAATTTTAGAAGATCTATGTATGATATTTTAAATGTCAAATAATTTAAATGATTAAATGACAAATCTCATACAATTCTCCTTTTTATACAACTAGAATAAAACTTGTTAAAGTGTCCACTGAAATAACTTTTTCTGCCTCTGCCTCTGCCTCTGCCTCTGCCTCTGCCAGGGAGAGTGGGATGCACAGAGAAGTGAAATATTCATTAGAAGAAAAAAGAAAAAAAAAACTTCTTCAAAATATATGGGGAAGCAGAATTCACCCAGATTGTTACAATTACGTGGTGCATATGTGTTCACGTGACATGCCATGGCCAATCAACCCCGAATCCTTCCGAATCTCTATGGCACCAAAGCTTGCCGGCTTTGACTTGATGAAGCTCCACGCTTGGTCAGCTTACTCAATATGTATGCCATGGCAACCTTCGCACCCAAGTTAGACTGACCACGAGAAAGGCAGATCACACCCCCTAGAAAAATCAGTCCATTGGCGATCAATTTATTTGAAGGCCTCAGGAGTTTCTTCCTGCTGCGTTCACAAGCAACCTTGCAACAAATAGCACTTGCTGTTGAGGTTTCTGGATGATCTGCGCTAGAAATGTTTATGGTATCCAATTCAGGAGGAACCTACATGACAAAATAAGGATACTGTGTGAACAGAATCAGCATTTCATACAGACTATTAGAATCGCCTGGAAATTAGTAATTCGAACCATTTGAACCAAGCATCATACCATTGCATTAGTATTCCCCTGTACTAAAATCAATTGTTCTCAAGAATCCAAACAGCTAATTCTTTTGCCAGACAGCAAATTGGCTACCCTGGTTTAGCTGATAAATCAGTTTGTATAGAACACTACTTAAGCAGAACATATGGACATGGAAGGTTGATATTAGAAACCATAAAAGGTCGGAGGGAGTGATCTTTTATCTTTTGAGAGCAAGAAACTAATGTATGTACAATATCTTCATTGTTTAACCGACACATGGATTTGACACCAGGGCNGCTAAAACTTTCTCTCACGGGATGCCCTTCTATGACCACACCACCTTCTAAAGCATTCATCTTCTCCATTTTTTTCCCGTCTTGTTGTGGTGGTCATCGTGGTGGTCGATTGTGGAGTGTGTCAGTGCATGGGCTTTGGGTGTCTGATCGGGCATAGAACTAGAGGCAAGGCGATGGAGGGGTGGGTTTCTTCTTGGTGGGTGGATTTTCTAGTTGTGGTGGTTTTCGCAGGTTGTGGGTAGAGTTTGATTGTGTTTTATTGGGTGGTATTTTTGGTTTGAGGTGGGTGTGTTGTGGTGGCGTTGCTATTGATTCGACCATGGGTGAGTGGTGGTGGCGATATGCAGGTGGCTTGGGTACTTTTTGTGATTTTTGGTGGTGGATTGAACACAGTGGTGATGGTAGATTGGGTGGTGTTGCTATGTTCTTGGATTTGGTTTGAGTTTGTGATTAATTTAATTTAATTAACAATTAACCGAATTTGGTATGAATTTAAGGACAAAATTAATTTGATTTGATTTTAGATATAAATATTATTCAATAAATTAATTAATTAGATTTGGTTTGGGTTTTGGGACAAAATTAATTTTATTAATGGAATAAATAAGATTTTGTTTTCATTTAGGAATCACTTCCATTAATTAAGTAATTTTTTTCCTCGAGTTATGTGTTATATATTGATATGATGTTGCAGTTTTTATTTGGATGTTGTAAAATTAAGTAAAAGTTAATAAGTATAAAATATTTTGGATTGAGGATATCATAGTCATTTTCTTGTTGCCGTTAGCAAAATGGAACAATCAATGTTATTTTTCAAACAAGAGGGAGCCTAGTTGTTATTAACCAAATCTCAAGGGAGGGAGCTTGACACAAGTTTAAGATTAGCTCACAAAATAAAAGGGTCAAGCTTTGTTCAAATTTCAAACCAAGCTTGAGCAAACTACTTTGTTTTTTTGGGAGTGGGAGGGGGAGGGGGAGGGGGCTTAAACCCTTGACCTCAAAAAGTTAAAACCTTCACAAGATAAGGAGTATCATTAGATCAAAGGCCCATTGGTTAAGCAAACTACTTGGGTCAGCTAATTGTGGGCACCTTTCTTATGTTTTGTGGGTATTTTTTTTTTTTCTTTTGGTGGAGATCAAAAATCAACACCTGCAGCTCATTAAAAGGACTGTCATCATGTTCTAACAGTTAAATTAATCAAATAACAAGTTTTGAAGGAAAAGGGAACCTGATTTCTTTAAGATGGTCCTGCAAAACAATGAGAAGAATAAAAAAAAAAAAAGAGTCAGGAACTTGCCTTTCCTGATTCTCCAGCCAGATCTAAAGAACCCAACCCGTACATACTTCTTCTGTATCGGAGCCATAGGATGTTCACACCCCTGGCAATGTTCACAGAAAAAATTAATGAATAGTAAAAATCAGTCAACCCCCAAAGACACATAAATTCGCACAGGGATAAAGAGAATCACAAGCTTATAAGCAGATTTGGCATTCCAAGCATTGTCCAATGGCCCTTTTGTGTCTAACATAAATAATTAGTTATAAAAAATAAAAAAAATCATATAGTGAAAATGCATAGAACTTTAAACATCATACTATCCAAAACTGCCTAGCTTCGATATTGGATTGGCCCGTGATTATATTATATACANGAGAAGTGAAATATTCATTAGAAGAAAAAAGAAAAAAAAAACTTCTTCAAAATATATGGGGAAGCAGAATTCACCCAGATTGTTACAATTACGTGGTGCATATGTGTTCACGTGACATGCCATGGCCAATCAACCCCGAATCCTTCCGAATCTCTATGGCACCAAAGCTTGCCGGCTTTGACTTGATGAAGCTCCACGCTTGGTCAGCTTACTCAATATGTATGCCATGGCAACCTTCGCACCCAAGTTAGACTGACCACGAGAAAGGCAGATCACACCCCCTAGAAAAATCAGTCCATTGGCGATCAATTTATTTGAAGGCCTCAGGAGTTTCTTCCTGCTGCGTTCACAAGCAACCTTGCAACAAATAGCACTTGCTGTTGAGGTTTCTGGATGATCTGCGCTAGAAATGTTTATGGTATCCAATTCAGGAGGAACCTACATGACAAAATAAGGATACTGTGTGAACAGAATCAGCATTTCATACAGACTATTAGAATCGCCTGGAAATTAGTAATTCGAACCATTTGAACCAAGCATCATACCATTGCATTAGTATTCCCCTGTACTAAAATCAATTGTTCTCAAGAATCCAAACAGCTAATTCTTTTGCCAGACAGCAAATTGGCTACCCTGGTTTAGCTGATAAATCAGTTTGTATAGAACACTACTTAAGCAGAACATATGGACATGGAAGGTTGATATTAGAAACCATAAAAGGTCCGAGGGAGTGATCTTTTATCTTTTGAGAGCAAGAAACTAATGTATGTACAATATCTTCATTGTTTAACCGACACATGGATTTGACACCAGGGCCCAACACAAAAAATGGGCAGTTAAATATGAAAGGGAACTAGTCCTCACCTTCTGAATCAGACTGATGGCATTTACAGCTATAATCGGTCGAAGATGGTAGAAAGCAGAGTATTTGCGAAGGGCATGATCCATCTTACATACATAACTCCATATGCCTTTTGCAAAGGCCAGCTTTGCAATTTCCACATTCAAACCAGCATCTTCTTGGTGTACCATTTGGATCTCACATGCATTTCTACCAAGTACTGCAAAAAGAGAAGTCATACAATACAACCAAGTAACTCAGTTCGTTGTCACCTCGGGTGAGACGCTGATATCAGTTTTATTGATGGTAAGCACCTCAATTGCTAAGGAACCAAATACTTTTTTTTTTTTTGATAAATAAGGAACCAAATACTTGGGTTAAGGGTACAAATGACAAATGAGTAGACTCAACCTGTTCTTGAACTGTTCAAGCCAGCTTGAATAAACTTGTCATCAGCACTCAAGCTGATCATTTGGCCCTTCTTTTTCCTCCAACAGCCCACTCATACTTTCACCTTAGTGCCATAATCCAATAGTTACATAGGTACCCATCCCAATTAGGGCTGCAAAGCGAACCATGCTACCTGAGCTCGGTTCGAGATTGACTTGTTCGCAATCGGTTTGTGTGCTAAACTTGAACACATTTTTAAGCTCGTCAATTTTTTAAGGGTAAATTACATCCACCTCTTCTGAGGTTTGATCAAATAACAACAAGCCCCTTTCTTGTTCGAAAAATAACACTAACCTCCCTTCTGCTTTTGTTGTCTGTAACAAGTTGCCCCTATCGTTACTGTTCCGTCAAGAAATCATTAGTGATTTGATGATGTAAGCAATTTATAATTTAAAATCCCAAAGTTACCCTCACATATTGAATTACTTTCTTAAAAAAAAAAAGTAATCGAACCAGATAAGAATAGTTTTAAACCTAAATAAACTCTACCTTATGGCCAATCAACCAATCCAACAATTTACCAAAACTCGGCTAGATTGTGGAGTATGTCGGTACGTCGGCTTTGGGATGCCCTTCTGTGGCTAAAACTTTCTCTCACGGGATGCCCTTCTATGACCACACCACCTTCTAAAGCATTCATCTTCTCCATTTTTTTCCCGTCTTGTTGTGGTGGTCATCGTGGTGGTCGATTGTGGAGTGTGTCAGTGCATGGGCTTTGGGTGTCTGATCGGGCATAGAACTAGAGGCAAGGCGATGGAGGGGTGGGTTTCTTCTTGGTGGGTGGATTTTCTAGTTGTGGTGGTTTTCGCAGGTTGTGGGTAGAGTTTGATTGTGTTTTATTGGGTGGTATTTTTGGTTTGAGGTGGGTGGTGCAACGGTGACAATGGTGGGTGTGTTGTAGTGGCGTTGCTATTGATTCGACCATGGGTGAGTGGTGGAGGCGATATGCAGGTGGCTTGGGTACTTTTTGTGATTTTTGGTGGTGGATTGAACACAGTGGTGATGGTAGATTGGGTGGTGTTGCTATGTTCTTGGATTTGGTTTGAGTTTGTGATTAATTTAATTTAATTAACAATTAATCGAATTTGGTATGAATTTAAGGACAAAATTAATTTGATTTGATTTTAGATATAAATATTATTCAATAAATTAATTAATTAGATTTGGTTTGGGTTTTGGGACAAAATTAATTTTATTAATGGAATAAATAAGATTTTGTTTTCATTTAGGAATCACTTCCATTAATTAAGTAATTTTTTTCCTCGAGTTATGTGTTATATATTGATATGATGTTGCAGTTTTTATTTGGATGTTGTAAAATTAAGTAAAAGTTAATAAGTATAAAATATTTTGGATTGAGGATATCATAGTCATTTTCTTGTTGCCGTTAGCAAAATGGAACAATCAATGTTATTTTTCAAACAAGAGGGAGCCTAGTTGTTATTAACCAAATCTCAAGGGAGGGGGCTTGACACAAGTTTAAGATTAGCTCACAAAATAAAAGGGTCAAGCTTTGTTCAAATTTCAAACCAAGCTTGAGCAAACTACTTTGTTTTTTTGGGAGTGGGAGGGGGAGGGGGAGGGGGCTTAAACCCTTGACCTCAAAAAGTTAAAACCTTCACAAGATAAGGAGTATCATTAGATCAAAGGCCCATTGGTTAAGCAAACTACTTGGGTCAGCTAATTGTGGGCACCTTTCTTATGTTTTGTGGGTATTTTTTTTTTTTCTTTTGGTGGAGATCAAAAATCAACACCTGCAGCTCATTAAAAGGACTGTCATCATGTTCTAACAGTTAAATTAATCAAATAACAAGTTTTGAAGGAAAAGGGAACCTGATTTCTTTAAGATGGTCCTGCAAAACAATGAGAAGAATAAAAAAAAAAAAAGAGTCAGGAACTTGCCTTTCCTGATTCTCCAGCCAGATCTAAAGAACCCAACCCGTACATACTTCTTCTGTATCGGAGCCATAGGATGTTCACACCCCTGGCAATGTTCACAAAAAAAATTAATGAATAGTAAAAATCAGTCAACCCCCAAAGACACATAAATTCGCACAGGGATAAAGAGAATCACAAGCTTATAAGCAGATTTGGCATTCCAAGCATTATCCAATGGCCCTTTTGTGTCTAACATAAATAATTAGTTATAAAAAATAAAAAAAATCATATAGTGAAAATGCATAGAACTTTAAACATCATACTATCCAAAACTGCCTAGCTTCGATATTGGATTGGCCCGTGATTATATTATATACATTGTTACTAAAACTAAAACTATCTAATCTCAAGCTAACTCAACTCAACACTAAAATCTTTAACCTCAACCTGAATGTTCATTACGCAATAGCCAATAACATAATCAAACTTTCTAAAATTGAAATAGTTCACTAAGCACCATATGTAAGAATCATTGACTTCTTCCAAACATTCTATATATGAAGTGTCATTACAACAAAGTATGTCCATACATTCAGTGCACACTGCATATCCAGCCACATCAAATGACATTTNCTTCCGAATCTCTATGGCACCAAAGCTTGCCGGCTTTGACTTGATGAAGCTCCACGCTTGNTGACTTCTTCCAAACATTCTATATATGAAGTGTCATTACAACAAAGTATGTCCATACATTCAGTGCACACTGCATATCCAGCCACATCAAATGACATTTCATTGGATGTAAATAAGCACGTAACTAAATATGCAAAATCAGGATAAACAATTTGCANTGGTCAGCTTACTCAATATGTATGCCATGGCAACCTTCGCACCCAAGTTAGACTGACCACGAGAAAGGCAGATCACACCCCCTAGAAAAATCAGTCCATTGGCGATCAATTTATTTGAAGGCCTCAGGAGTTTCTTCCTGCTGCGTTCACAAGCAACCTTGCAACAAATAGCACTTGCTGTTGAGGTTTCTGGATGATCTGCGCTAGAAATGTTTATGGTATCCAATTCAGGAGGAACCTACATGACAAAATAAGGATACTGTGTGAACAGAATCAGCATTTCATACAGACTATTAGAATTGCCTGGAAATTAGTAATTCGAACCATTTGAACCAAGCATCATACCATTGCATTAGTATTCCCCTGTACTAAAATCAATTGTTCTCAAGAATCCAAACAGCTAATTCTTTTGCCAGACAGCAAATTGGCTACCCTGGTTTAGCTGATAAATCAGTTTGTATAGAACACTACTTAAGCAGAACATATGGACATGGAAGGTTGATATTAGAAACCATAAAAGGTCCGAGGGAGTGATCTTTTATCTTTTGAGAGCAAGAAACTAATGTATGTACAATATCTTCATTGTTTAACCGACACATGGATTTGACACCAGGGCCCAACACAAAAAATGGGCAGTTAAATATGAAAGGGAACTAGTCCTCACCTTCTGAATCAGACTGATGGCATTTACAGCTATAATCGGTCGAAGATGGTAGAAAGCAGAGTATTTGCGAAGGGCATGATCCATCTTACATACATAACTCCATATGCCTTTTGCAAAGGCCAGCTTTGCAATTTCCACATTCAAACCAGCATCTTCTTGGTGTACCATTTGGATCTCACATGCATTTCTACCAAGTACTGCAAAAAGAGAAGTCATACAATACAACCAAGTAACTCAGTTCGTTGTCACCTCGGGTGAGACGCTGATATCAGTTTTATTGATGGTAAGCACCTCAATTGCTAAGGAACCAAATACTTTTTTTTTTTTTGATAAATAAGGAACCAAATACTTGGGTTAAGGGTACAAATGACAAATGAGTAGACTCAACCTGTTCTTGAACTGTTCAAGCCAGCTTGAATAAACTTGTCATCAGCACTCAAGCTGATCATTTGGCCCTTCTTTTTCCTCCAACAGCCCACTCATACTTTCACCTTAGTGCCATAATCCAATAGTTACATAGGTACCTATCCCAATTAGGGCTGCAAAGCGAACCATGCTACCTGAGCTCGGTTCGAGATTGACTTGTTCGCAATCGGTTTGTGTGCTAAACTTGAACACATTTTTAAGCTCGTCAATTTTTTAAGGGTAAATTACATCCACCTCTTCTGAGGTTTGATCAAATAACAACAAGCCCCTTTCTTGTTCGAAAAATAACACTAACCTCCCTTCTGCTTTTGTTGTCTGTAACAAGTTGCCCCTATCGTTACTGTTCCGTCAAGAAATCATTAGTGATTTGATGATGTAAGCAATTTATAATTTAAAATCCCAAAGTTACCCTCACATATTGAATTACTTTCTTAAAAAAAAAAAGTAATCGAACCAGATAAGAATAGTTTTAAACCTAAATAAACTCTACCTTATGGCCAATCAACCAATCCAACAATTTACCAAAACTCGGCTAGATTGTGGAGTATGTCGGTACGTCGGCTTTGGGATGCCCTTCTGTGGCTAAAACTTTCTCTCACGGGATGCCCTTCTATGACCACACCACCTTCTAAAGCATTCATCTTCTCCATTTTTTTCCCGTCTTGTTGTGGTGGTCATCGTGGTGGTCGATTGTGGAGTGTGTCAGTGCATGGGCTTTGGGTGTCTGATCGGGCATAGAACTAGAGGCAAGGCGATGGAGGGGTGGGTTTCTTCTTGGTGGGTGGATTTTCTAGTTGTGGTGGTTTTCGCAGGTTGTGGGTAGAGTTTGATTGTGTTTTATTGGGTGGTATTTTTGGTTTGAGGTGGGTGGTGCAACGGTGACAATGGTGGGTGTGTTGTAGTGGCGTTGCTATTGATTCGACCATGGGTGAGTGGTGGAGGCGATATGCAGGTGGCTTGGGTACTTTTTGTGATTTTTGGTGGTGGATTGAACACAGTGGTGATGGTAGATTGGGTGGTGTTGCTATGTTCTTGGATTTGGTTTGAGTTTGTGATTAATTTAATTTAATTAACAATTAATCGAATTTGGTATGAATTTAAGGACAAAATTAATTTGATTTGATTTTAGATATAAATATTATTCAATAAATTAATTAATTAGATTTGGTTTGGGTTTTGGGACAAAATTAATTTTATTAATGGAATAAATAAGATTTTGTTTTCATTTAGGAATCACTTCCATTAATTAAGTAATTTTTTTCCTCGAGTTATGTGTTATATATTGATATGATGTTGCAGTTTTTATTTGGATGTTGTAAAATTAAGTAAAAGTTAATAAGTATAAAATATTTTGGATTGAGGATATCATAGTCATTTTCTTGTTGCCGTTAGCAAAATGGAACAATCAATGTTATTTTTCAAACAAGAGGGAGCCTAGTTGTTATTAACCAAATCTCAAGGGAGGGGGCTTGACACAAGTTTAAGATTAGCTCACAAAATAAAAGGGTCAAGCTTTGTTCAAATTTCAAACCAAGCTTGAGCAAACTACTTTGTTTTTTTGGGAGTGGGAGGGGGAGGGGGAGGGGGCTTAAACCCTTGACCTCAAAAAGTTAAAACCTTCACAAGATAAGGAGTATCATTAGATCAAAGGCCCATTGGTTAAGCAAACTACTTGGGTCAGCTAATTGTGGGCACCTTTCTTATGTTTTGTGGGTATTTTTTTTTTTTCTTTTGGTGGAGATCAAAAATCAACACCTGCAGCTCATTAAAAGGACTGTCATCATGTTCTAACAGTTAAATTAATCAAATAACAAGTTTTGAAGGAAAAGGGAACCTGATTTCTTTAAGATGGTCCTGCAAAACAATGAGAAGAATAAAAAAAAAAAAAGAGTCAGGAACTTGCCTTTCCTGATTCTCCAGCCAGATCTAAAGAACCCAACCCGTACATACTTCTTCTGTATCGGAGCCATAGGATGTTCACACCCCTGGCAATGTTCACAGAAAAAATTAATGAATAGTAAAAATCAGTCAACCCCCAAAGACACATAAATTCGCACAGGGATAAAGAGAATCACAAGCTTATAAGCAGATTTGGCATTCCAAGCATTGTCCAATGGCCCTTTTGTGTCTAACATAAATAATTAGTTATAAAAAATAAAAAAAATCATATAGTGAAAATGCATAGAACTTTAAACATCATACTATCCAAAACTGCCTAGCTTCGATATTGGATTGGCCCGTGATTATATTATATACATTGTTACTAAAACTAAAACTATCTAATCTCAAGCTAACTCAACTCAACACTAAAATCTTTAACCTCAACCTGAATGTTCATTACGCAATAGCCAATAACATAATCAAACTTTCTAAAATTGAAATAGTTCACTAAGCACCATATGTAAGAATCATTGACTTCTTCCAAACATTCTATATATGAAGTGTCATTACAACAAAGTATGTCCATACATTCAGTGCACACTGCATATCCAGCCACATCAAATGACATTTCATTGGATGTAAATAAGCACGTAACTAAATATGCAAAATCAGGATAAACAATTTGCAGAATCATTAATTGGGCTTCAACTCAAATAGATTGCAACTTATTGAGACCAGAGCACGAGCAATGCAATTTCTTTCATCTCTTTTCCATTCAAAACTAATTTCAAAAATCTAGTTTTCCTATAAACACCAAATTTGGACAATGAGGTGAAAACTTAGAAGAGTAGACAAAAAAATTTTAACAACACATCAGGCACATATCCAATATAATCAGCATCCTGATCAGTATACCAGGATGAGTGGGGAAATAGCTTGGGCAAAAACTGTTTAAAGATTTCTCTCAACTATGAAGCCTTCAAATCCTGCCTCATCATCAGAAAACAGGTTCTTTCCATGGATGGAAGAACTAAGTGCTTTCAAGCACCTAAACATGCAGAAAAGGATTTAACTTCTGAAGCTATTTGAGATTGGACTGCCATTATACCAAACAAATGATATGTCTGGCTAATACTTTAGCTGCATGAAAACTCACTACTTGAACTGCATTGTGGATGTTTCCGATCGATTTGGTGCGGGAATTGTATGAAATCAGNACGTCGGCTTTGGGATGCCCTTCTGTGGCTAAAACTTTCTCTCACGGGATGCCCTTCTATGACCACACCACCTTCTAAAGCATTCATCTTCTCCATTTTTTTCCCGTCTTGTTGTGGTGGTCATCGTGGTGGTCGANGGGGGCAGATCCAAAATTCTAGTTTAGACGGGGCAAAAAAAAAAAAGGAAATAATAGCTAATATAAACAAGTAAATTGTTAAGATTCATGATTAATTATTANAGGGGCAGATCCAAAATTCTAGTTTAGACGGGGCAAAAATAAATAAGGAAATAATAGCTAATATAAACAAGTAAATTGTTAAGATTCATGATTAATTATTATATGGATCATAAAACCATTTCATTAATAAATCAAAGCGGAACACAATGTTTTTTCAAATCTCTGAAAAACGAAAAACACAACTTTAGGTTAGGAAATTTTACTATTGCATCTAATCGTGTTTTACTGAGTTATGGATGAGGCACTAACTTACCAAAAAAAGTCGAGGGCAACTTTATAACTTTTTTGAACAAAAAAGGAGCAATGTATTAAATAAAAAAGATATATTATCGTTGGTCAATATATACAAGTTAGGGAATTTAATATTTGTTCCAAGCAATCAAAAACTAAAACATTTTTTAAATTGAATTAGGGGCCAATAGTGAGCCACAAAGTGACAAAATAGAAAACAGGACTGAGGTCACTGTATAAATATATAAAAGTCAAGGGGGGCAATGAATTCAATTGAGAATAATCATGTTATTTGAAGAACAAGTATTCAACAATTCTTGAAAGTTGAGGGGGGCAAGTGCCCCCACTGCCATCAATGTGGCTCCACCCCTGAACGAAATGTTGACACAAACACAAAATATACAGGTGGAGGTGGTGAGCAGGTAAATTAGGAGTAGAGGGAGAGCGATTCCATTAACAAGGTTTTATTCCAATATGAAACTCAGGGATGTTGGCTGGGACCTGTTCTCTTTAACTCCTTTCTTTTATACGGCTTTTTCTATCACAGGACAGAGAACATTGATCATGCATATTTATGCTAATGTGTTTAGAGATGTAAATCATAACATAAATATATACGTCCAGGGAGATAAGCAACTGTAAATGCATACATAAGGATAAAAGCTATGAATATTAAGGTATTACGTGCATTTTAAAACTACATAAAGCTCAGTGATACCTATAGTAGTTGCAAAGTCAGTTCTGAATTTCTATAACAGATACCTTACTGCAACAGTAGAAGATTTTATCTTTTCCTTCCCACACTCTCCAAGCTAATATGTACTCTCTTGGTGTCAAGAGCGGGAATTTTTTAATTGTGCGACCAATTTCAGTTCCATTACTTTCGTCCACCTGAAACTGCTCATGCTTAATCAGGGTCTTGTCCCACTGCTTCCTATAATCATTGTCCATATAGAAATCTCTCAGCACCTCAGCAGAGCAGTTCTCGAATATTGTCACACTCAAATATTTCAGAGGACCATCCTGCAAATGGAAGACACTTTTAACCTAGATTTGCTGAATTTATAAAATGAAGCAGAGAAACAAATACCAGTGCGTGAACAGAAATTGGGATGATAGAGTCTATGATATAAACTACATAGTGAGCTCTGGGGGAAGTATTAAAGAAAAAACCTGCAAGAAAGCAAACAAATGCCTTCATACCAGTAAAGTAGAAAACTCCCCCCCCCCCCAAAAAAAAAAAAAGGACACACACATGCACTTAATAAGAGATTTCAAATGAACACGTTACGGTATAATAATATTGTGTACATTCATTTCTAGCTAAAATACTTTGTACCCTAATTCTTTGAGATGTCTCAATCGAAAAAAAAAGTATAATACTCAAAACAAGGATTGAGGAGAACATGAACATGTTGAAATGCAGAGAATTGTAATGGTCGGGATAGCTTCTGATCAAATTAATTTTATTGGACATCTCTGTAATCACATGGATTCATGAAAAAGAACAGCAACCTTTGGTTTGCAGCACTTTGCCTTGTAGCAAAGAAGATTGTTTCTTCTGTCTATGACACTGTCCCATCTCTCATGCTCTTGGAGCTTTTCATCCAAATTGTCAATGACACTCTTCAAATCCGAATCAGATATAAAACCAGAAACCCTGCAGGAACAAACAGATATCAACATCAGTAAACATCTGTAAAACAGAAATTAAAAATCTTATAAGGTAACAGTAGTTGACTACGGAAAGGATCAAGTAGTCATTCTGCACCCAGTTAAACCAGTACCAGCTAAGTTCAGGAAAAAAAAAAACCAGTACTAGCTTACAGCCACAGGTCTACCTTCAAATTTTCAGATAGGATAAATATATCTCAACACAAAAGTGTGACACAGTTTAATAAGTAAACCCATACTCCCGAATACTAGAGCCAGCTAAACCTACTAACAGTTCAGCAGAACCTATGGTCATCCAAACAGGAGGGGGGAAGGGGGAGAGAGAGTCTGTGCTGAGAAGTTGATGGGATATATTATTCTCATCACAACATTAATAATTGGAATGAGTCCTCCACCATGAAATATTTGGACTATCTTCACTAAGCATTCTCCTATTTGGGTCAAAGGAAAGGCTTTTGTAGTAATACAAGACCAAATAACTGTGGCTGGTCATAGGAAATTTCAAAGGCAAGCAAGCATCACCTGTCCAGGTATTATAGGGTAAGAAAAACTCCACGCCAGCCTTTGGTGTTATGGTTGCCAATTGCCAATCAAGGATTGCCTATTTCCATGCAGGCATCATTGTCTCAAGTTAAGAGGATTATTGAAATAGTCTCCGGGTGTCTTTTTTCTTCTTTTTGTTCAAGATTGATGTCAATACTTGGTGTTGCATTCCCTTCTAATGTGTGTTTACAAGAGACTTTCAATGTGTCGAGTGGCGAAGAAACGTCGGTTGGGCAGTCAAAAAAATTTTGCACCATTGATATTCCATATTTAGAAAGAATCTATAAGGAGAATATGGTAGTATTACTAGGGATAACAATAACAATAGTATTGATCATAACAATAGATTACTATTTGGAAGGAAAATGGCAACAACAATAAACTAAAAAGATTTGAAGTCCAAGTAAAAGATTACAAAAAAAATGACATAGTAATAGGAAGTAAGAGAAGTAGCAGAGGAATAAAATACGTACCTAGGCGGGGAAAGGGCAGAGGAGGCGGGAACGGTGGAGTTGTTGAAGCTCCCAAAAGAAGGAGGAGGAGGAGGAGCAGAGGGGTTAGGGGTAGCAGCTTCTTGTGATCTGAAATGATTATTAGGAAGGAAGAAGAAGAAGAAGGAAGATTTCAACCCGGTGTTGGAGATCAATTGCCATATCAATATCACTGCTACGGCGCCGATCGTATATGCAAAGCAGCTGCCCCATCCACTTTCTCCTCCTCCTCCTCCTCCTCCAGTCATCTCTTCCCCTCCAAAAGTTGTACTGATGTCGATGAGATGAAAATCCTCCTCCTCCTCCTCCTCCTCGTGATGATACCGATATTACAATTCCAGGACTAACCCACGACTCGTTTGTTTGCTTTGGAGTCTCCTCTCTATTCCCTTTCTCTCTCTCTCTCTCTCTCTGTCTCCGCATGTCCCCTCCTTTCCTTATCTCGACTATCCTTTATTCGATTCAGTTCTACTTTAATTATTTTAAATTTTAGGATTAATCACAAATTACATTGGAACAATTTCTTAAATCTCAATTTATACCGTTAAAAGATATAAATTTTTACCAATATGCACTTAAAATTAAAAGTCATCAAACTAGTTGAATAAGTTATGCGTAGACCTTCTCAAATTTGTTATTTAGGNCCAGTACTAGCTTACAGCCACAGGTCTACCTTCAAATTTTCAGATAGGATAAATATATCTCAACACAAAAGTTTGACTCAGTTTAATAAGTAAACCCATACTCCCGAATACTAGAGCCAGCTAAACCTACTAACAGTTCAGCAGAACCTATGGTCATCCAAACAGGAGGGGGGAAGGGGGAGAGAGAGTCTGTGCTGAGAAGTTGATGGGATATATTATTCTCATCACAACATTAATAATTGGAATGAGTCCTCCACCATGAAATATTTGGACTATCTTCACTAAGCATTCTCCTATTTGGGTCAAAGGAAAGGCTTTTGTAGTAATACAAGACCAAATAACTGTGGCTGGTCATAGGAAATTTCAAAGGCAAGCAAGCATCACCTGTCCAGGTATTATAGGGTAAGAAAAACTCCACGCCAGCCTTTGGTGTTATGGTTGCCAATTGCCAATCAAGGATTGCCTATTTCCATGCAGGCATCATTGTCTCAAGTTAAGAGGATTATTGAAATAGTCTCCGGGTGTCTTTTTTCTTCTTTTTGTTCAAGATTGATGTCAATACTTGGTGTTGCATTCCCTTCTAATGTGTGTTTACAAGAGACTTTCAATGTGTCGAGTGGCGAAGAAACGTCGGTTGGGCAGTCAAAAAAATTTTGCACCATTGATATTCCATATTTAGAAAGAATCTATAAGGAGAATATGGTAGTATTACTAGGGATAACAATAACAATAGTATTGATCATAACAATAGATTACTATTTGGAAGGAAAATGGCAACAACAATAAACTAAAAAGATTTGAAGTCCAAGTAAAAGATTACAAAAAAAATGACATAGTAATAGGAAGTAAGANTTCCACGCCAGCCTTTGGTGTTATGGTTGCCAATTGCCAATCAAGGATTGCCTATTTCCATGCAGGCATCATTGTCTCATAGTTAAGAGGATTATTGAAATAGTCTCCGGGTGTCTTTTTTCTTCTTTTTTTTCGAGATTGATGTCAATACTTGGTGTTGCATTCCCTTCTAATGTGTGTTTACAAGAGACTTTCAATGTGTCGAGTGGCGAAGAAACGTCGGTTGGGCAGTCAAAAAAATTTTGCACCATTGATATTCCATATTTAGAAAGAATCTATAAGGAGAATATGGTAGTATTACTAGGGATAACAATAACAATAGTATTGATCATAACAATAGATTACTATTTGGAAGGAAAATGGCAACAACAATAAACTAAAAAGATTTGAAGTCCAAGTAAAAGATTACAAAAAAAATGACATAGTAATAGGAAGTAAGAGAAGTAGCAGAGGAATAAAATACGTACCTAGGCGGGGAAAGGGCAGAGGAGGCGGGAACGGTGGAGTTGTTGAAGCTCCCAAAAGAAGGAGGAGGAGGAGGAGCAGAGGGGTTAGGGGTAGCAGCTTCTTGTGATCTGAAATGATTATTAGGAAGGAAGAAGAAGAAGAAGGAAGATTTCAACCCGGTGTTGGAGATCAATTGCCATATCAATATCACTGCTACGGCGCCGATCGTATATGCAAAGCAGCTGCCCCATCCACTTTCTCCTCCTCCTCCTCCTCCTCCAGTCATCTCTTCCCCTCCAAAAGTTGTACTGATGTCGATGAGATGAAAATCCTCCTCCTCCTCCTCCTCCTCGTGATGATACCGATATTACAATTCCAGGACTAACCCACGACTCGTTTGTTTGCTTTGGAGTCTCCTCTCTATTCCCTTTCTCTCTCTCTCTCTCTCTCTGTCTCCGCATGTCCCCTCCTTTCCTTATCTCGACTATCCTTTATTCGATTCAGTTCTACTTTAATTATTTTAAATTTTAGGATTAATCACAAATTACATTGGAACAATTTCTTAAATCTCAATTTATACCGTTAAAAGATATAAATTTTTACCAATATGCACTTAAAATTAAAAGTCATCAAACTAGTTGAATAAGTTATGCGTAGACCTTCTCAAATTTGTTATTTAGGATGAGTTTGTCAATTCATGAATGGACTGGACTGATTTATATTTAAATTTCAAATTAGTCCAGTGAAATTTCAATAGGTCGGATTTGTAGGGAATAAAAGAAAATTGTGTTATCTAATCTCAGGTTTGGATAGTGCATTATGATATGGTTGAAATATGGACAAACTACAATCTTTTATTAAACATCTAATACATTTGACATTAATTGATCATTTCATTCTTGAATCCTATCCACTCCTATCTCATTTTTGGCTTGATAATTGTTGGTTACCACTTTTTTTTTTTTTTTTAACTTTTTGATCATTGTTGGTTACTAATTTAATATTATAAAAAATATAAAAACGCTTATGTATTCACCAAATGTATGTTATTACACATTGATTTTATAATATCCTTACAAATTTATTTCATCCGCCAAAAATATTAAAAAATTTAGGACAATAAAATGCCTGAACATAAGAAAAACTACGTCACAACCCAAATTCACATGAACCATAGTAGTAATTAACTATTTTTTTTATAAAAATTAAAAGAAGAAAAAATTATTTCCGATCACCAAAAAAAATACAAAAAGCCAGTACAATTCTAAAATCATAAGCAAAGCTCCTTCAAAACATGAAAAAAAGAAAAATAACTTGTGTTAAAAGAAAAAATATATACAACATACATACAGTAAACCTGTGTTATCCTTTTATCATAAAAAAATGAGCACATTTTTTAAGTCTAGCAACTGGCAGTATTCTTACATGCACCATGGAATCTGCCTCTTTCACAAATTTACAATGAACTACACCATATTGTTCAATTAAGCGCAAACCATCCAAATAGCCCCCAAAACTCAACCACCATGTTCCAACATGAGATCTTCTCAACCGTTGGATATTAACAGAGTTCTTGCAGATACCAGACCCAAAGCTCCTGAAGCTAGGAGGAGTAGAATGATCAAGAACAAATTCAAAGGGATGAAGACGACTTCTTTTGACGCTGCAAGACCACCACAGTGTAGATAATTATGGCTCTTTTTTTATTTTTTTTTATGTCTCTCAACTATAACTCTTCAAATGAATTTTGTTTAATGATAAATTACCAGTTAGCTTAAGCTTAGTGGGTATCTGAGGTGTAAATTAGAGAGATTTTTGCCTGATATTTTGCTCTAATGTTTAAATAATTGATCACTTGAAATAAAAAGTTGAGATTCTCCAAAAAAAAAAAAGGTGAGGAATCGGCACAGAAAGCAAACAATGGAACTCACTGTAGCCATGTGCCTTTTTAGCACCCAGCAAGGTTTCAGACGTTAGCCATGGAGGAAGAGAAGAAGAGAGANATTGATCACTTGAAATAAAAAGTTGAGAGTCTCCAAAAAAAAAAAGGTGAGGAATCAGCACAAAAAGCAAACAATGGAACTCACTGTAGCCATGTGCCTTTTTAGCACCCAGCAAGGTTTCAGACGTTAGCCGTGGAGGAAGAGAAGAAGAGAGAGAGATAGAGCAATGAAGATAGAACTGGCCCTTTCAAACGAAAAAAAATACCATCATCGTTCAATTTTTCTTGTTGGAAGTAACTACTGCTTCTAGCCAAAATACCACCTTAAACTATGTAACTAATGCATAAAAAAATTACAGAGGCAAGAAAGAGAGAGACGAGGGAGACAGGAGAGAGAGCGATATACATACCTTCTGAAGGAGACACGGGCGCCGTTGTCACAGTGGGGGACCAGCAGGTAGGTGGAAAGGAAGGGAAAATAGGTAAAAATCCTACTTTGTGTGTATTGTTTAAGAGGTAATAACGTAATTTCATGCTTTATTCATCCACTGGGCTTAGAAATTCTAAAGTCCGGTTGGGTTTCATTTTATCCGGATCAGATGGGATTTAGGGCTAATTGACTACGGCCGAGTAATTTAACCCAATAAAAATCCAATCCCATTTGCATAACCCAAAGATGGGATATATGAGCTCTCAGATATTTTTATCCAATCTAACATGTCCTATCTACCTATATCTGTCCAAACAAACACACTTTTAATCATTTAGACCCCTCACATTTAGAATAGTACTCTTACACATCCTAACATTTGTGCACATGTAACATACAATTCCTTGTTGTTGAAATATGTTAATATAACTCTTAAAAATATGATTTTATCATAATAAAAAATTATAATTTTCATGTTATCCTTTATTTNAGAGATACATACCTTCTGAAGGAGACACGGGCGCCGTTGTCAAAGTGGGGGACCAGCAGGTAGGTGGAAAGGAAGGGAAAATAGGTAAAAATCCTACTTTGTGTTGTATTGTTTAAGAGGTAATAACGTAATTTCATGCTTTATTCATCCACTGGCCTTAGAAATTCTAAAATCCAGTTGGGTTTCATTTTATCCGGATCAGATGGGATTTAGGGCTAATTGACTACGGGCCGAGTAATTTAACCCAATAAAAATTCAATCCCATTTGCATAACCCAAAGATGGGATATATGAGCTCTCAGATATTTTTATCCAATCTAACATGTTCTATCTACCTATATCTGTCCAAACAAACACACCTTTAATCATTTAGACCCCTCACATTTAAAATAGTACTCTTACACATTCTAACATTTGTGCACGTGTAACATACAATTCCTTGTTGTTGAAATATGTTAATATAACTCTTAAAAATATGATTTTATCATAATAAAAAATTATAATTTTCATGTTATCCTTTATTTTGTGGTTCGTTATACTCTAAAGTTTAAAATCAAATTTGACATTAGAATACTAATTATAATGCATGTATTTATATAATATTCTTTATATCCAATACAATACATTACTTGAACATAATTATTTAAATGTCCGATTAGGAGAATATTTTTAGTCATATTTAAATTCTCAGGGGATGTAATTGTAATATTTTAAATGTGAAGGCATAATATAATTAAGTGACAAATATGAGGAAGTCTAGATTTAATTTATTCATTTAGTTTTAAGCGACAAACAACTTTATGTAACTTTACGGTGCATTGATACATGTAATTTTACGTGTGCATTGATACATATTTATATCTTTGAAAGTATAAACTAAAATTTTTAATTTTTTAAAAATATAATTTCTCGTAAGCAATTTAAAAAAATAAGTAATAACACTATGATATTTTCTCTCCCTAAGGGCCTGTTTGGTATGTTTTTTGGGAGGGGTTTGGATTGGCTTGTCCAAACCCGGGTTCGACCAAAAATGGGATTCAAATAAGGGATTCAATATTTAATGTTGTCCATACCCATATTTGGTATTCGCAGGAATATGTAACTATTATGATAATATATTTGTATTTAAATGACTATTGTGCCCCTTAACTAATTTAATCCAAATATGGGTATAAATATATNCGACCAAAAATGGGATTCAAATAAGGGATTCAATATTTAATATTGTTCATACCCATATTTGGCATTCGCAGGAATATGTAACTATTATGATAATATATTTGTATTTAAATGACTATTGTGCTCCTTAACTAATTTAATCCAAATATGGGTATAAATATATAGGAAGTATAAATGTCATTTGAATGTAAAACCCTCAAGCCCACATATGAAACTCACCCCCCATGGGTTTCATGAAACTCATGAACAAGGGTTTCATGACCGGGTCGGATTTCAAACCCTAAGCTAAATTCATAGTTACCAAACATGAGCTTAAGGAGGTTTAGTCCCCAACTTATGTTCCAAACCCCCCCCCCCAACCCACATACCAAACAGCCCCTAAGTAATAACAGAGAAAGGAGAGAAAATCATCAATTTCGCTCAGATCTATTGTAGTTTCTTCAACATATATGGAATCAGCTATCAGTCAAATGGAAGACTGCTCATCGTATGGTCAATCCTAAGGAACACCATGAAAGTATGGAAGAAGAATAGATGTGTGTTGATGGCAATGAACATACGATTGCAAACTCGCCTGATCTAGGCATTTTGCCTACTGAAAACACTAAAAATGGGTAAACCCAAAAATTACTTGTCTGCACTTATGAAAAACTCTGGGGTCATCTACTTTGAACCGAAAATGTATGAGATTTCCTCTAACGAAGATAACCCAAAAAATAGTAGCAATAAAGATTCAAGCAAGGAGAAGGACACAATGATTATTGATAACTCATACCAAAGTTGTCCGAAAATTACCCTATCGCATAAAACAATGCAAAAAATCAAAAAGAAATGGAAAAATGGACTGATTGTCAAACTACTAGGACGTTCTATAGGATACAAAATGCTTTGCACTATAAATAGAAATTTTTGGGGGGTCCAACGTGATTTTGAAGCCATAGACTTTGACTATGGCTTCTTCCTTTTCAAATTTCAACTAATAGAGGACTGTCATAAGGTTTTCACAAAAGGCCCCTAGGTGATATTGAACCACCATCTCATTGTCAGGAGGAGAAAGCCTGTGACGTCAAAGAGAATAGCGATTATTCTGCAGGCTAGTAGTAATTAACAGTGAATAACACAAGAGAATCGCCCAAAAAATTGGCTAAGTAGCCACAATCTTTATAAAATCAAAATAATAAGAGTTAACCCTAGAACACATGAAAACATCCTTTAAATACTAAACAATAAGCTGGAAACCCTAATTACACAAGGCATAATTAAATTACAAAAAAATCCAAATAAACCCAAAATTGAAAAAACTTTTAAAAGGCCCAACACACATGTTTCCAGGCCTTTTTTGGGCTTTTAATGATGTCTATCATAGCCAAAGGTAATATGTCTTGTAGGGCTCGTCGTAAGCTTCGATTTGATATATTATGGGCCACATAACTCCAAACAAATTAAAAGTTATGGTCCAAACAATGTCAACCATTCTTAGACTTTGATCTGTCATCTTTGTGCTAATCTGCTAACTCAAGATATCTCAATGCCATCAACGTTCCATCTGATAACTTAGCATTATCTGACTCGAATCCTCCTGCATCAGTCGCCCCGAGTTGGAAGGAACTCGTCCTCGAGTTCACAGTAGCATCATCGAAATCCACAAAACAAGGACTCATGTGTTTCACATTAAAGACATCAAAAGTCCTCAAATGACTAGGGAGACGTAGCCTGTAGGCGTTGTCATTGATCTTCTGTAGTATCTTACAGGGTCCAATCTTCCACTCCTTAAGCTTATTATACTCTTGAACAAGAAAACGATCACGAGTTAATACCGCCCAAACAAAATCACCAACATCAAAAAGTACCTGACGACGATGACTGTCACCCCAAACCTTGTACTTGGCATTGCTCTCGTGAATGGCCAGTTTCATCTGCTCATGGATGCCCCAAAGATGTTCTACTATCTCATCTGCTTTAGGACTCAATTGACCTACATGTGGAATAGAGACTAAGTCTAGCACCCGGGATGGATTTTGACCATAGACAATCTCAAATGGGCTCATTCCTATGGTTCTATTCTTCGATCTGTTATAGGCACATTCTGCTTGAGGTAACGCCAAATCCCACTGCTTTGGTTTAGTTTCTGCCAAACACCTCAAAAGGTTGCCCAAACTCCGGTTCACCACCTCTGTCTGACCATCCGTCTGGGGGAGACGGGCACTGCTGAAATTCAACTGTGTCCCCATTTTCTCCCATAAACTCCTCCAGAAATTACTCATAAACTTGGTGTCACAATCTGAAGTGATTGATCNATGAACAAGGGTTTCATGACCGGGTCGGATTTCAAACCCTAAGCTAAATTCATAGTTACCAAACATGAGCTTAAGGAGGTTTAGTCCCCAACTTATGTTCCAAACCCCCCCCCCCAACCCACATACCAAACAGCCCCTAAGTAATAACAGAGAAAGGAGAGAAAATCATCAATTTCGCTCAGATCTATTGTAGTTTCTTCAACATATATGGAATCAGCTATCAGTCAAATAGAAGACTGCTCATCGTATGGTCAATCCTAAGGAACACCATGAAAGTATGGAAGAAGAACAGATGTGTGTTGATGGCAATGAACATAAGATTGCAAACTCGTCCTCGGGTTCACAGTAGCATCATCGAAATCCACAAAACAAGGACTCATGTGTTTCACATTAAAGACATCAAAAGTCCTCAAATGACTAGGGAGACGTAGCCTGTAGGCGTTGTCATTGATCTTCTGTAGTATCTTACAGGGTCCAATCTTCCGCTCCTTAAGCTTATTATACTCTTGAACAAGAAAACGATCACGAGTTAATACCGCCCAAACAAAATCACCAACATCAAAAAGTACCTGACGACGATGACTGTCACCCCAAACCTTGTACTTGGCATTGCTCTCGTGAATGGCCAGTTTCATCTGCTCATGGATGCCCCAAAGATGTTCTACTATCTCATCTGCTTTAGGACTCAATTGACCTACATGTGGAATAGAGACTAAGTCTAGCACCCGGGATGGATTTTGACCATAGACAATCTCAAATGGGCTCATTCCTATGGTTCTATTCTTCGATCTGTTATAGGCACATTCTGCTTGAGGTAACGCCAAATCCCACTGCTTTGGTTTAGTTTCTGCCAAACACCTCAAAAGGTTGCCCAAACTCCGGTTCACCACCTCTGTCTGACCATCCGTCTGGGGGAGACGGGCACTGCTGAAATTCAACTGTGTCCCCATTTTCTCCCATAAACTCCTCCAGAAATTACTCACAAACTTGGTGTCACAATCTGAAGTGATTGATCGAGGAACACTATGTTAACGCACAATCTCCCTGAAGTAGAGGTGGACAATCCGAGCAGCAACCATTGTTTTCCTGTAAGCTACAAAATGGGTCATCTTGGAAAACCTGTCAACTACAACCAAAATAGAATCCAAGGCCCGTTGCGTACGAGGTAAGCCTAACACAAAGTCCATACTAACATCAAACCAAGGGGCCTTAGGAACAGGTAAATAAGTGTACAGGCCCGCATTAGTGAGAACTCCCTTGGACCGTTGACACACATAACAATGCTCCACATAATAAGCCACGTCACTGGCCAATTTGGACCAATAATAGTCAGAAAATATCAGAGCCAACATCTTATCTTGCCCAAAGTGACCCTCGTTATGAAGTTCACTAATAATCTGTTGCCTTAGTGAACAATCTGGAATGCACAATTGTAATATGCAAAACAGATAACCATTAAGCAAAATAAAATCATGATGTTGACCATCAGTTTCCTCCTGAATTATCCTCCCGAATGAAGGATCTGCGGCATACATATCAATGAAAGCCTCAAATCTTGCGACTCTAGTGCTCATGGTGGTGAGGAGTAACATACGATGGCTCAATGCATCTGCAACACAATTCAGACTCCCTACTTGGTGCCTCAACGCAAACATGAACTCCTACAAGTACGCCACCCACTTGGCATGCCGTCTACTCAGCTTGTGTTGGCCATTGATGTACTTCAAGGCCTCATGATCAATGATAAGAATGAACTCCCTCTGTATTGGGTAGTGACGACAATGCTTTAGGGGCTAAACTATGGCATAAAACTCCAGATCATGGGTGGAATAATTCTTCTTTGATTCCGATAGCTTCTCACTGAAAAAAGTGATGGGGCACCCCTCCTAACTCAAAACACCACCAATACCAACACCAGATGCATCACAATTACCTCAAATACCTTTTCAAAATCAGGAAGTGCCAAAACTAGTGCATCTGTCATCTTCTGCTTGACTAGTTGAAAATTGGTCTCTGCCTNCTAATAAATGTTAGGATCCACAGTAAAATCAATGATTGAGATTATCAAGTCTACTTTTTAAGTCCATGTAGTATTACACTCCTGTTTATGGGATACTACCAAAAATATAAAAGGAAAAAAATCTTCTGCAGCAAAAGTTGCTCAAATTATTAGTAGAAATGGGCAGTAATACACAGCTCATCTGGGGGCAACAAAACTGATGTCCAACGAAAAAAAATATTTCTATTCAAGAAACCAGATGCTGAGAGACGCTCATCTGCAAGGGTCATTGATCTCTATCAATGCCATTCACTCAATTGTAGTTTCTGGAACAAAAACGTCCAAACATTTGAGGCAGCAATTTACCTTCTAGTTAGCACAAGAGGAACCCTAAATTCTCAGTGTCACTGCACAACAGGAAGATGATTGCAGAGCTCCTCCTTAACATGTATCATTAGAAAAGTTCATGCTTCATCCAATTCCCAGTGACTTCAAAGATTTGTCCCTCTTACGATGGTATTGATGAGTCTCACTACGCGTTGTACTTGGTACTGATGCAGGTTGAAGTTGAACTGCATAAGTTAACTAATTCTGTCAGCAAAGTCTTTACCTAGCGAAGACCAATTGTTACAACAATGAGCAGATTTATATATTTTTTTTTTCTTCTGTGCTTTAACACCCCCAAAACCGTAGTACATTTGTCCAGCTCCAATTATATGATTACCCATATCACACAGGAGCCTATTGATTTGGATATTCATAGCATATATGGAGCAGACTTAAAAGGTCCTTACTAAAGAGGGTATTGGGCAAAGTGGATCACGTACAGACCTAACGTTGAGGTATTTTTCACCTAGTTGACTCCCCTCATATATGAACCCACAGCCTCATGGACATTGGGCTGAATATTTACACTACATATGTGGATGAGAGTACTAAGGTAGGGCTACATAGCAAAGCTAAGAAAGCAGCATCATGAACACTACCTAGTAGGAAATATGTAAGAAATGAAGGTGATAAACACTATTCCTACACTAATGCTTTCCCAAACTTGAAGATGTTCCATGCTTGTTGAAATTGGTAAACAATTACCTTTTCTTGGCTTGGGTGGTTTAATTGCATGCCCTGCAGTATTTGTTGGAGGTAAATGCCTCATTGCAGTTACAGGTTTCGATGAGATTTCAGTCTTTTTTGAAGATATGAGAGCTGAAGAAAGAAGTGCATCTACAGCCTCACGTTGTTGTTTCCTTTTCGTGATTGCATCTTTGCGTATGTCAACTTGATTAGGAGCTCTAGTTCTATCATCCCCATCTCTCTGCTGAAAGCCTCTTTCAGGAGAAGTTATTCTAATATCGATACTAATCTGCCTTTTGTCATGCTCCGAAGATTCTGCAAGTCCTTTAAATCCAACTGGCATCACAACCTTTTGACCATCACCTGACACCGGCTCAGACTGATGCAAGTTGCTCCTATTTTCACGTCCTTTTCTCTTAGCCACAGCAGAATCTCCCATACTGAGTAGCTTTTCATTAGTTTTTTTGACTTCATATACACGGTCTATCACTTGATCTCCTGTGCTTGTGGACTTCATATCCTCATTGACCCTATTTCCGGCTACAGATGTAAGATCCATCTTCGCTACAGAATCATGTTCTTCTCTGGCTCTTCTTTTCTTGCCTTTGAAAGCATCCCCTGTTGCCAAACAATCATGTTCATCTCCACCTGCACTATAAGCACTTTGAGTTTCCGTGATCATGTATTTTCTTTTCCTTTCATAGGAATGCTTTGCATTTTTATGTTGCAGTTCAGCATGCCTGCTAGACCTTTTAACCTTCTCAGCATGTTTTAGGTTCCTTGAACGATCATCAGAATTTTCTGAAGCAGAATATTTCTTCAAAGCAGACTTAAAGATGACATCATATGGCTTTGTAACCGGTATAAGCAACTTTCTCTCCNTGGGCTCATCCTCTCACGAATGTACCCCTCTCCAATAATTCTACCACCTGTGCTGCAACTCTTCAAATTCCTTGGGACTAAGGTGATAGGCCGATCGATTAGGCAAACTCGATCCTGGAACAAGGTCGATCTGATGTNCTGAAGCTCTGATACTGACTGATGCTGGACATAATAGCGATTATTCTGCAGGCTAGTTTCCACAAATAATTCACAGTGAAGAAAACAAGAAAATCGCCCAAAAAACTGGTTAAGCAGTCACAATCTTTATAAAATCATAATAATAAGAGTTAACCCTAAAACACATGAAAACATCCTTTAAATACTAAACAATAAGCTGGAAACCCTAATTATGCAAGGAATAATTAAATTACAAAAAAATCCAAATAAACCAAAACTGAAAAAACTTCAGAAGGTCCAAACACATGTTTNCAATCACTAGAGAATTTGAAGACATTCCTCTCTTCTGCATTTTGGCGGGATGTAAAGCAATGTGTGATTTGTAATTAGATTATATTTAGCTAACAATCAATTTTTAGTTGTGTTTTGCTTTTGTTTTCTTCAATTTTTCAGTTGGACGGCTTGTCCACTATTATCTCTTTATCATGATTCTTTATTTAAAACTAAAATAAACTGATTTCTTACCCAAAAAAACACCTGAATTGAACATATTATAGGCAAGTTGGTACTTTATAATAGGTCAATCAAAATGTGACACGGCATGAATCGACGCGGAGTTAAGCAGGTTTGACTGAGACCTTAATGGGTGCGGGTGATAAACGGGCAAATCCGCTAGACCCGCTTAATAAACGAGTCATGTTCAAGTGAGATATATCAACCCATTTATCACCTTTTTACTCATTTAAATAAAATTAATATAATAATAAATTAATTATTATTTCAGTTTTTTTCTAGTCAGAATAATTTATCCAATTTAATAATTAGACTAGTTAAATTTAATTTAATGATGAGTTCATTCTTATAATCTTAAATGTTTTTCTAATATGGGTTGGCATCACTGAATGTCATATTTTTGTGGTAGTTTTTTAATTAGTTAATAAGAATGTTTATTAGTTAGTTATATAGAAATTTTAATGAAAAACGGGTGGCAGGTTAAAGGTGTTATCGTGTTAACTCTACTCTATCTAACATGATTCATTTATTAGACGGGTTAATCGAGTCGTATTTGGTTTGTAGATTTTCACTTGTTTAATTAAACGAATCGTGTACGGGTTGAAAGGTTTTTCACCCGAACCCGCTTTAATAAGCCTACTCTATGGTATTCAACACATCTGAGCAACATTGTGGACCATGCATAGTAACACACACACACAAAAATAGAGGTCTATTTTGGTGGATTGAATTCAAAAACAATAGTTATCAGAAACAGAACAGACTTCAGGGGTATTCCAAACCAGAGTTAGTCAACCAGGAAAGTGAACTGGTCGACTAGGGTTCTACACAACAAGAATTTCTATACCAACACTTCCACAGACCAATCTATGGAGCAACATCGAGTTATAACACTTGAAGAGCAGAAATCAAGTTTAAGTGACAAATAACAAAGTTTTAGTTTACTTAGATACCCTACCTTTGGATTAAGAGGTGTAGAACTCTATAATAGAACTTAAAGAAAACACAAAACTGGTTAGGTCCTATTCAGCCGCTCTCTAGGCATTTACAAAAACTAGTGATTATCCAAGTTTTTGGCCAAGGACACAGATTACAAGCATCAATTGGAACATAGTGTGTTTGACATAGCAACCTCCAAAATTCANTGTCAACCTTTCTTGAACTTGGGTCTGTCATTTTTGCGCTGATCTGCTAACTCAAGGTATCTCAACGCCATCAACGTGTCATCTGATAACTCAGCATCATTCGACTTAGATCCTCCAACATCATTTTGTCCCCTCAAGAGCTTCAAATATCTCAACTGCTATATGGATAAGACTCCCAGAATCGCCTCTTGAATACTATGAGGAAAAAATTATCTTCAAAATAGCTAAAGCAATGAGAAATCCAATTAAGGTGGATATAATAACTGCAACTACTGAGAGAAGCAAGTTTGAAANAGTCATGTTCAAGTGAGATATATCAACCCATTTATCACCTTTTTACTCATTTAAATAAAATTAATATAATAATAAATTAATTATTATTTCAGTTTTTTTCTAGTCAGAATAATTTATCCAATTTAATAATTAGACTAGTTNGGCAAATCAAGTGAGATATATCAACCCATTTATCACCTTTTTACTCATTTAAATAAAATTAAATTGGATAAATTATTCTGACTAGAAAAAAACTGAAATAATAATTAATTTATTATTATATAAAATTAATATAATAATAAATTAATTATTATTTCAGTTTTTTTCTAGTCAGAATAATTTATCCAATTTAATAATTAGACTAGTTAAATTTAATTTAATGATGAGTTCATTCTTATAATCTTAAATGTTTTTCTAATATGGGTTGGCATCACTGAATGTCATATTTTTGTGGTAGTTTGTTAATTAGTTAATAAGAATGTTTATTAGTTAGTTATATAGAAATTTTAATGAAAAACGGGTGGCAGGTTAAAGGTGTTATCGTGTTAACTCTACTCTATCTAACATGATTCATTTATTAGACGGGTTAATCGAGTCGTATTTGGTTTGTAGATTTTCACTTGTTTAATTAAACGAATCGTGTACGGGTTGAAAGGTTTTTCACCCGAACCCGCTTTAATAAGCCTACTCTGTGGTATTCAACACATCTGAGCAACATTGTGGACCATGCATAGTAACACACACACACAAAAATAGAGGTCTATTTTGGTGGATTGAATTCAAAAACAATAGTTATCAGAAACAGAACAGACTTCAGGGGTATTCCAAACCAGAGTTAGTCAACCAGGAAAGTGAACTGGTCGACTAGGGTTCTACACAACAAGAATTTCTATACCAACACTTCCACAGACCAATCTATGGAGCAACATCGAGTTATAACACTTGAAGAGCAGAAATCAAGTTTAAGTGACAAATAACAAAGTTTTAGTTTACTTAGATACCCTACCTTTGGATTAAGAGGTGTAGAACTCTATAATAGAACTTAAAGAAAACACAAAACTGGTTAGGTCCTATTCAGCCGCTCTCTAGGCATTTACAAAAACTAGTGATTATCCAAGTTTTTGGCCAAGGACACAGATTACAAGCANCCAATTATATGATTACCCATATCACACAGGAGCCTATTGATTTGGATATTCATAGCATATATGGAGCAGACTTAAAAGGTCCTTACTAAAGAGGGTATTGGGCAAAGTGGATCACGTACAGACCTAACGTTGAGGTATTTTTCACCTAGTTGACTCCCCTCATATATGAACCCACAGCCTCATGGACATTGGGCTGAATATTTACACTACATATGTGGATGAGAGTACTAAGGTAGGGCTACATAGCAAAGCTAAGAAAGCAGCATCATGAACACTACCTAGTAGGAAATATGTAAGAAATGAAGGTGATAAACACTATTCCTACACTAATGCTTTCCCAAACTTGAAGATGTTCCATGCTTGTTGAAATTGGTAAACAATTACCTTTTCTTGGCTTGGGTGGTTTAATTGCATGCCCTGCAGTATTTGTTGGAGGTAAATGCCTCATTGCAGTTACAGGTTTCGATGAGATTTCAGTCTTTTTTGAAGATATGAGAGCTGAAGAAAGAAGTGCATCTACAGCCTCACGTTGTTGTTTCCTTTTCGTGATTGCATCTTTGCGTATGTCAACTTGATTAGGAGCTCTAGTTCTATCATCCCCATCTCTCTGCTGAAAGCCTCTTTCAGGAGAAGTTATTCTAATATCGATACTAATCTGCCTTTTGTCATGCTCCGAAGATTCTGCAAGTCCTTTAAATCCAACTGGCATCACAACCTTTTGACCATCACCTGACACCGGCTCAGACTGATGCAAGTTGCTCCTATTTTCACGTCCTTTTCTCTTAGCCACAGCAGAATCTCCCATACTGAGTAGCTTTTCATTAGTTTTTTTGACTTCATATACNCATCAATTGGAACATAGTGTGTTTGACATAGCAACCTCCAAAATTCAGAACATGGGATCACAAATTGTACATATATATAAATATACTGCTTATACAAGCTTTATGTGTTCATAATTCATTCATAATTTGAGGTCAAACCNCCACGGTCTATCACTTGATCTCCTGTGCTTGTGGACTTCATATCCTCATTGACCCTAGTTCCGGCTACAGATGTAAGATCCATCTTCGCTACAGAATCATGTTCTTCTCTGGCTCNCCTGCCATTACATTATATTAAGTAAAGAGCCAGGATGCATTTGCAAAGACTATCAATATGGGGGAGGGTCACTTAGACTATCTAAATAGTATTTTTTCCATATTCTAGAAAGAGAACTACAATGGGGAATGATAGTAGTTGGTCAAATTAATAGATAACTTGTGGTTACAATGTTGAAATTTATTTAAGCCTCTCTCGAGCTTCCACCTCCTCCTCCTCTCCTTTTTTTCATTGGGAAAGATGGCTTAGGGATCCCCGCTCAAAAGAAAAAACACACATTCAGATCTCATGTCAACGACATGTGTTAAAACATTATCTAAGCGTAGAAAAGACATGTCCCCAGATCATTAGTAATTAGTTTCATAACAGCTCCGTTTTTATGAGTTTTATGGGCTGGTTGTTTGAGCTAAAGCTTACTCAGGAATTCAATCAACATGCAAAAGCTCAGTAGATGGCAATTTAGTCTACCTGCTTCATGAGCATAATGACAGGATGGCCAGCCCTTTGTAATCGTTCAAACATGCTGCATTGATACAGATATTTGCTAGCAACATTAGAGAGCACTGTCGCAGGAAGTTGCTTTGGATCACCAACCTTCAATGGTAAATGTCCATATTCAATATTTATCTATCCATGTAGTACTCAGAACAAAAAAAATGAAGCCACTGGTCCCTACCATAATACATTTGGTTCCCTTTGATTTTAAAAGCTGAAGAGGAATAAGAGTTGCTGGTTCCAGAGCCTGTAGAGACAGCAGTGAAGTTCCAAACAATAGCAAGAATANTCTTCTTTTCTTGCCTTTGAAAGCATCCCCTGTTGCCAAACAATCATGTTCATCTCCACCTGCACTATAAGCACTTTGAGTTCCCGTGATCATGTATTTTCTTTTCCTTTCATAGGAATGCTTTGCATTTTTATGTTGCAGTTCAGCATGCCTGCTAGACCTTTTAACCTTCTCAGCATGTTTTAGGTTCCTTGAACGATCATCAGAATTTTCTGAAGCAGAATATTTCTTCAAAGCAGACTTAAAGATGACATCATATGGCTTTGTAACCGGTATAAGCAACTTTCTCTCCTTAGCATCCCCAACAAGAGCTGCCCAGTTCTCATTTGTCTGCAAAGTTCTTGCATTACCCAAAATCCATAAAGAAACTTTGGCCCTTGTCAAAGCAACATTCATTCGTCTTGCATCAGCGACAAACCCAATATTGCTATAGTTCATCCTGGGTCCGGAGGAACATGGTTCTGCTGCTCTAACAGTGGAAAGTACAAGTATATCAACCTCCCGGCCTTGAAAACCATCCACAGTATTAAATTCCATTTCAGCCGTAACAGAAGATCCAAATGCACTAGAAAACCGCGAACGCAAAAGTGAAAGTTGACACCTATAAGGAGTTATGATGCCAATTCTTCCACCAACAAACTCTGACGGGTACCTAAACAAAACAACCACAATGCAAATATTAAAAGCAACTAATGGAAAAATCAAATTGTCCAATCACAAATACCTCTTCCTGAAAAACTGAAGTACTTCAACTGCAGCATCAGCCTCACACTCGTTGTAGAGGGACAAAGCACCAGAGTTCTTGCCCCGAAGTTCCTGCCCATCGATAACATCAAAGAATACATAGGGTCCAAGGCCCTCAGTTTCATGAAATGGTGCTGCTTTGCTGGACATCAGGTCACCATTAAGCAACTTGCTGTCATAGAAATGCAAAGAAGGGAACCGGCATATCTCTGGATGCATCCTATACTGTCAGTCCTAAAAGTTATTGGCAATCCAATGTTCCATAAACTAGAAAGTAAGCATTCAAAAATTTAGGACACAACTTCCAATATACCCACATAGTAGGAATAGGAGTAAATTAGTACTACATTTTCAGTAAGTTAATTCTTTACAACAGAAACAGAAACAACAACAATCATTATGGTCTTTTAGAGATTAAAAAGTTCCAGATCCCAGAAGCAACAGAGCCTTACTTTTCAGGAGTGCATGGCCAATTATAGGGCAGGAAGGGTCTGGGTATTTGTAAAGAGAACTAATGTTATAGCCCCTATCCCCGAGGTGTTCTCTCTTTTTTAGATGTCAGGAAAAGTAAAAATGAGGATCGAAAATATGCGAGGGACTTCTTGTGGGAAGGAAGAGATGAGGGAAAGAACGATCATTTGATTAGTTGGGAGGTGCTATCCAAATCCAAATCGATAGGTGGTCTTTTGGATGGCAAGGAATGTAACTTTAGTTGGGAAATGGCTATAGAGGTTTCTTTAGAACATAATTCCTTGTGTCATTCACTTATTAAGAGCAAATAAGAATTATAAGCCAATGGTTGGGATGCTAATGGGGCTTGAGAGAAAGTTTCAATCCCCTTAGAAATTCACCTTCCAAATATAATCTTGATTCTCATAATATGTTAATTTCGTTGCGGGTAATGGGGAGAGAGTCCAATTTTGGGAGGATGTGTGGTGTGGGGAGTCTTCGCAATCATGTATGTTTCCTTGTCTATTGGTCTCTTGTGCTCACTATACTTCCATTTCTTATATGATTTACCATAGTCCTCATTCATTATCCTGGGATCTTAGGTTTCATAGAAATCTTGATGATGGAGATACTTTGGATTTTGTTTCACTAGTTTGGATTTTGTTTTACTTCTTTCTATTCTTAATGACTTCGACTTGAATCATGGAGCTTTTGATAAAAGAAGTCGGGTTGTTGATTCGTTCGGATGTCTTTTCTTGTAAGTCTTTCTATGAATCCTTGATTGATGATCTCTTAAGTCCTTTGTTCCACACAACTTCGATGATTTGGATGGCTTAAGTGCTCATTAACGTACAAGTTTGCAGATGGATGACGGCTCAAGATGATGAAATTAACGCCAATGATATGCTTCAAAGAAAAAAACCTCCTGATTGTCTCTAACCACACTAGTGTGTTATGATGTGCAAGTCGGTCAGTATTGATCATTACGGAATACATTATCTAATGTGGCAGGGTTAAGGTGGGTGAGTACTTGGCCTCCTTCTTTTATGTTTGTTGAGGATTTCATGGTTCTTGGGGAAAAAAAGGGACCACTTTGCGGACTTATTCTCCCTAATATATAGGGTATTTGATTGGAGAAGAATGTCAGATTATTTGATGATCAATGTGAAGCGGTGAAAGGATTCTAGGCTCGGATATATTTCTTGGCATCTTTTTGGGCTTCAATCACTAGAGAATTTGAAGACATTCCTCTCTTCTGCATTTTGGCGGGATGTAAAGCAATGTGTGATTTGTAATTAGATTATATTTAGCTAACAATCAATTTTTAGTTGTGTTTTGCTTTTGTTTTCTTCAATTTTTCAGTTGGACGGCTTGTCCACTATTATCTCTTTATCATGATTCTTTATTTAAAACTAAAATAAACTGATTTCTTACCCAAAAAAACANTTAATAAATGTTGAAATCCACAGTAAAATCAATGATTGAGATTATCAAGTCTACTTTTTAAGTCCATATAATATTACACTCCTGTTTATGGGATACTACCAAAAATATAAAAGGAAAAAAACTTCTGCAGCAAAAGTTGCTCAAATTATTAGTAGAAATGGGCAGTAATACACAGCTCATCTGGGGGCAACAAAACTGATGTCCAACGAAAAAAAATATTTCTATTCAAGAAACCAGATGCTGAGAGACGCTCATCTGCAAGGGTCATTGATCTCTATCAATGCCATTCACTCAATTGTAGTTTCTGGAACAAAAACGTCCAAACATTTGAGGCAGCAATTTACCTTCTAGTTAGCACAAGAGGAACCCTAAATTCTCAGTGTCACTGCACAACAGGAAGATGATTGCAGAGCTCCTCCTTAACATGTATCATTAGAAAAGTTCATGCTTCATCCAATTCCCAGTGACTTCAAAGATTTGTCCCTCTTACGATGGTATTGATGAGTCTCACTACGCGTTGTACTTGGTACTGATGCAGGTTGAAGTTGNTAAAGATAGACAAGAACTAGTCAATCAAAAACCATAACGATCAAAGAACAGAAAGAAAAAATGTGGGCAAGACATTATACTTGAGCAGCTTCATCGATCACAACAGCATCAAACAATGTATCCTCAGATGCATTGCCAAACTTGTGATTTGAAATAGATTGAGAGCATACTCCATACAGGTCTCCACCACAGCCACTCAATGTAGTGACCACAATTTCAGCTTCCTTCAGTATGGATTTCCGCAATTTATGCTTAAGAGCTTTACTTTCTTCCTCAGTTTTCTTCTCTCGTGCCTGAGCAGTGCCAAGATCTACATAAATTGCTTTTTTTTCATCATATAATTTTCTTAACTTTGACTCTACTTCTCCATCAGACATTTCCTTCCCATCCTCCCCTTTAGAAGCCTCTCCTTCCAGCAAATTCTTCGAGTCAGAATTTTCATCCCTTACGTTGGCACGCTTGGCTTCATAAAATCTGATACGGTCCACTAACTTCTCCAGATTAGAACGGAGAATTGCTGAGGAATCCAAACTCAAATCATTTTTTGTGTCACTTGCATTCATTCTCACCTCGGCCAAACGCTGATCAACAAGTGTGTCAATAAAGAAGGGAATGGAATTCGGATGAACTGTCTTTGCATTACCAACCCTAACAAGATAGGGCTTGTTCATCAGTCCATCACTTCCATATAGGCCTTCACTGGATATTCTTGACACCAACTCATCAACTGCAGCATTGGATTGTGCACAAATGAGGATCCTTCCCCTTGTGCAACCAGCCATAGTTTTGCAGTTTTTTTCTGCATCCTCATTTAATTGTCTAGCCAAGGCTGCATCCTGCCAGGCCCTTGCAACTGCAGCAGATTGACAAATCTTCACTCTTGAATTAGTACACAAAGTAGTGCTAGGTCTTATAGCACCATTTAGTGGACTCTTCTTCATGCGAGACAAGGCAAGCAAACCGCTCACGATAGCCACAATAGTTCTAGTCTTCCCAGTACCTTATGGTAAAACAGTCCAAAACAATAGCCAACTCATGTATACTGCAAGCTTCAGATCAAGTGTTAATTGGATTAAGCCAAAAGAAATAGAAAACTTGCATACCTGGAGGACCCTGTATAAGAGATAATTCAAAATCTTTTCTTGTATCCCGTAGTCCAATGGCTGCACTGATAGCATGAAGTTGGCTGTCATTGTATGAAGACTCAAGAATTCGCTGCAAGGGCTGAGTCAGCTTACTGAGATCTTCTTTTCCATATTTGTTTAAGCAATGATAGACAGGGTTTAAGATAATAGGAAGTAGAGGAATATCCTTTATCGCTGTTAATGCGTGAAATTCTCTAAGTTGAGGGGTAATGCTCATAAGGCGACTAATATACCATTTGCTTCGTTCAAGAAGGAGCTTTCTAGCTCGATTTAAACGAGAATTTCCATGCTGAAAATAAAACCTGATGACTATGATACTTCGCCTTCTTTTATTGTCTTTCTCAAGCCTCTCCACCTGAACACAGAAAGGTTGCATCAACAGTGTACGGCAATCCCCAAAAATCAGCAATAAACTGTTGAATAGAACTTGCTGAACACAATCTATAGCAAAAGCCATCTCTCATTTTTCAACAAATACAAGCCCAATAAAAATATTAAAATTATTATCTTCAAAAAACTTCAACTGTTAGATAAAATTTGGTGCAAACCAGGTAAAGCTTAATGAAGTAAAATCCAAAACATCAAGCGCACAACCGGAGGCCTATGATTTGTCAAACATCATTTTACTTTAGTCAGTGTCAATGAAAGTTCAAACCAATTCTAAAAGAATGGGCAGATCAAATTATGCAGTACAAATTATCTGGAAGGTCATAATGTAAATTCTATTTTATTGACTGGGACTAAAAATTCTATTACGTTTCAATTGAGAAATGGCATAAAACTGGCCACCTTGCATTCTGGATCAGGTTTTGGAATGTTTTGCATCAGGCATTCGGGGTACTTCCACTTTTGTGACTTTCAAAGGACCGTTAGATCCATANATCTGAATTGAACATATTATAGGCAAGTTGGTACTTTATAATAGGTCAATCAAAATGTGACACGACATGAATCGACGCGGAGTTAAGCAGGTTTGACTGAGACCTTAATGGGTGCGGGTGATAAACGGGCAAATCCGCTAGACCCGCTTAATAAACGGGCAAATCAAGTGAGATATATCAACCCATTTATCACCTTTTTACTCATTTAAATAAAATTAAATTGGATAAATTATTCTGACTAGAAAAAAACTGAAATAATAATTAATTTATTATTATATAAAATTAATATAATAATAAATTAATTATTATTTCAGTTTTTTTCTAGTCAGAATAATTTATCCAATTTAATAATTAGACTAGTTAAATTTAATTTAATGATGAGTTCATTCTTATAATCTTAAATGTTTTTCTAATATGGGTTGGCATCACTGAATGTCATATTTTTGTGGTAGTTTGTTAATTAGTTAATAAGAATGTTTATTAGTTAGTTATATAGAAATTTTAATGAAAAACGGGTGGCAGGTTAAAGGTGTTATCGTGTTAACTCTACTCTATCTAACATGATTCATTTATTAGACGGGTTAATCGAGTCGTATTTGGTTTGTAGATTTTCACTTGTTTAATTAAACGAATCGTGTACGGGTTGAAAGGTTTTTCACCCGAACCCGCTTTAATAAGCCTACTCTGTGGTATTCAACACATCTGAGCAACATTGTGGACCATGCATAGTAACACACACACACAAAAATAGAGGTCTATTTTGGTGGATTGAATTCAAAAACAATAGTTATCAGAAACAGAACAGACTTCAGGGGTATTCCAAACCAGAGTTAGTCAACCAGGAAAGTGAACTGGTCGACTAGGGTTCTACACAACAAGAATTTCTATACCAACACTTCCACAGACCAATCTATGGAGCAACATCGAGTTATAACACTTGAAGAGCAGAAATCAAGTTTAAGTGACAAATAACAAAGTTTTAGTTTACTTAGATACCCTACCTTTGGATTAAGAGGTGTAGAACTCTATAATAGAACTTAAAGAAAACACAAAACTGGTTAGGTCCTATTCAGCCGCTCTCTAGGCATTTACAAAAACTAGTGATTATCCAAGTTTTTGGCCAAGGACACAGATTACAAGCATCAATTGGAACATAGTGTGTTTGACATAGCAACCTCCAAAATTCAGAACATGGGATCACAAATTGTACATATATATAAACATACTGCTTATACAAGCTTTATGTGTTCATAATTCATTCATAATTTGAGGTCAAACCTGCCATTACATTATATTAAGTAAAGAGCCAGGATGCATTTGCAAAGACTATCAATATGGGGGAGGGTCACTTAGACTATCTAAATAGTATTTTTTCCATATTCTAGAAAGAGAACTACAATGGGGAATGATAGTAGTTGGTCAAATTAATAGATAACTTGTGGTTACAATGTTGAAATTTATTTAAGCCTCTCTCGAGCTTCCACCTCCTCCTCCTCTCCTTTTTTTCATTGGGAAAGATGGCTTAGGGATCCCCGCTCAAAAGAAAAAACACACATTCAGATCTCATGTCAACGACATGTGTTAAAACATTATCTAAGCGTAGAAAAGACATGTCCCCAGATCATTAGTAATTAGTTTCATAACAGCTCCGTTTTTATGAGTTTTATGGGCTGGTTGTTTGAGCTAAAGCTTACTCAGGAATTCAATCAACATGCAAAAGCTCAGTAGATGGCAATTTAGTCTACCTGCTTCATGAGCATAATGACAGGATGGCCAGCCCTTTGTAATCGTTCAAACATGCTGCATTGATACAGATATTTGCTAGCAACATTAGAGAGCACTGTCGCAGGAAGTTGCTTTGGATCACCAACCTTCAATGGTAAATGTCCATATTCAATATTTATCTATCCATGTAGTACTCAGAACAAAAAAAATGAAGCCACTGGTCCCTACCATAATACATTTGGTTCCCTTTGATTTTAAAAGCTGAAGAGGAATAAGAGTTGCTGGTTCCAGAGCCTGTAGAGACAGCAGTGAAGTTCCAAACAATAGCAAGAATAAAGATAGACAAGAACTAGTCAATCAAAAACCATAACGATCAAAGAACAGAAAGAAAAAATGTGGGCAAGACATTATACTTGAGCAGCTTCATCGATCACAACAGCATCAAACAATGTATCCTCAGATGCATTGCCAAACTTGTGATTTGAAATAGATTGAGAGCATACTCCATACAGGTCTCCACCACAGCCACTCAATGTAGTGACCACAATTTCAGCTTCCTTCAGTATGGATTTCCGCAATTTATGCTTAAGAGCTTTACTTTCTTCCTCAGTTTTCTTCTCTCGTGCCTGAGCAGTGCCAAGATCTACATAAATTGCTTTTTTTTCATCATATAATTTTCTTAACTTTGACTCTACTTCTCCATCAGACATTTCCTTCCCATCCTCCCCTTTAGAAGCCTCTCCTTCCAGCAAATTCTTCGAGTCAGAATTTTCATCCCTTACGTTGGCACGCTTGGCTTCATAAAATCTGATACGGTCCACTAACTTCTCCAGATTAGAACGGAGAATTGCTGAGGAATCCAAACTCAAATCATTTTTTATGTCACTTGCATTCATTCTCACCTCGGCCAAACGCTGATCAACAAGTGTGTCAATAAAGAAGGGAATGGAATTCGGATGAACTGTCTTTGCATTACCAACCCTAACAAGATAGGGCTTGTTCATCAGTCCATCACTTCCATATAGGCCTTCACTGGATATTCTTGACACCAACTCATCAACTGCAGCATTGGATTGTGCACAAATGAGGATCCTTCCCCTTGTGCAACCAGCCATAGTTTTGCAGTTTTTTTCTGCATCCTCATTTAATTGTCTAGCCAAGGCTGCATCCTGCCAGGCCCTTGCAACTGCAGCAGATTGACAAATCTTCACTCTTGAATTAGTACACAAAGTAGTGCTAGGTCTTATAGCACCATTTAGTGGACTCTTCTTCATGCGAGACAAGGCAAGCAAACCGCTCACGATAGCCACAATAGTTCTAGTCTTCCCAGTACCTTATGGTAAAACAGTCCAAAACAATAGCCAACTCATGTATACTGCAAGCTTCAGATCAAGTGTTAATTGGATTAAGCCAAAAGAAATAGAAAACTTGCATACCTGGAGGACCCTGTATAAGAGATAATTCAAAATCTTTTCTTGTATCCCGTAGTCCAATGGCTGCACTGATAGCATGAAGTTGGCTGTCATTGTATGAAGACTCAAGAATTCGCTGCAAGGGCTGAGTCAGCTTACTGAGATCTTCTTTTCCATATTTGTTTAAGCAATGATAGACAGGGTTTAAGATAATAGGAAGTAGAGGAATATCCTTTATCGCTGTTAATGCGTGAAATTCTCTAAGTTGAGGGGTAATGCTCATAAGGCGACTAATATACCATTTGCTTCGTTCAAGAAGGAGCTTTCTAGCTCGATTTAAACGAGAATTTCCATGCTGAAAATAAAACCTGATGACTATGATACTTCGCCTTCTTTTATTGTCTTTCTCAAGCCTCTCCACCTGAACACAGAAAGGTTGCATCAACAGTGTACGGCAATCCCCAAAAATCAGCAATAAACTGTTGAATAGAACTTGCTGAACACAATCTATAGCAAAAGCCATCTCTCATTTTTCAACAAATACAAGCCCAATAAAAATATTAAAATTATTATCTTCAAAAAACTTCAACTGTTAGATAAAATTTGGTGCAAACCAGGTAAAGCTTAATGAAGTAAAATCCAAAACATCAAGCGCACAACCGGAGGCCTATGATTTGTCAAACATCATTTTACTTTAGTCAGTGTCAATGAAAGTTCAAACCAATTCTAAAAGAATGGGCAGATCAAATTATGCAGTACAAATTATCTGGAAGGTCATAATGTAAATTCTATTTTATTGACTGGGACTAAAAATTCTATTACGTTTCAATTGAGAAATGGCATAAAACTGGCCACCTTGCATTCTGGATCAGGTTTTGGAATGTTTTGCATCAGGCATTCGGGGTACTTCCACTTTTGTGACTTTCAAAGGACCGTTAGATCCATAGGTTTCTACTTTCTTTCTTTCTTTTTGTGAAATGGAACACGGCTTGATGTATTATGGTGAGGGATGAAAACAAAAAGGTCACAAGATCACTAGCCACTCAATTAAGGTGGCGTTTGAGATGACTTAGAAAAGTATTTTTAGGATTTATAACTGTCATGGTTGAATTTTTTAAAAAAAAGTGCGGTTTGGCTCAACTTAGTTAAAATACTTTCAAAGAAGTTAAAAGCCGATTCCCAAAAAAAAAAAAAGAATTTAAAAGTAGTTTTATCACTTGAATAAGTTCATAAGTAGAAGCAAAAAACACGTCTAACAAACTACTTCTCACTTTTACACACCACCACCACCGTCCCACCACTACCACCGACGCCATTGCCATCACCACCACCACCACTATCCGCCATCACCACATACCACCACCACCACATGTTGCCACTACTGGCACCGTCTTCAGCACCCAAGGTTCAAAGTATGAGCAGAGTCCGATATGACTTGATCATCCTCAATCTGATAATAACACAAGATACAAGAATATAACCAAACTCAACCAGCGCAGTGTTGACTAGGTTACGATTTGGAGGCATTGGCCCAGCTCGGAGTGGATTCGATGGGACTCGAACAAGTCGAAACGAGTCTTTGATCTGCAAAATCCCACACAAGCCGCAAAAAAACCCAAAAATAAACAAATGGAGAAAAAATAGGATGAGACCCACTTGCAAATTCATAGATTTGATTTGATTCTCAACTAAACAAGCCAAACAAAAAAGAAATTGATATAAAATAAAGCAACCAATGTAGCCTTAGTTGGAAAGTGGCTGTAGAGATTTCCACCAGAACAAAATTCTCTATGGTATTCGGTTATTAAAGACAAATATGGATTATAAGCCAATGAGTTGGATGCAAAGGCGGGAGAGAGAATTCATTTTGTAGAGGATGTTTGGGTTGTGACATCTTCTTTTNCTATAAGCCAACGAGTTGGATGCTAAGGCGGGAGAGAGAATTCATTTTGTAGAGGATGTTTGGGTTGTGACATCTTCTTTTTCATGTATGTTCCCACATCTTTATCATTTATCTTAGTTTCGTGGATCTTCTATTGCCTCAGTGTATCAGTATTCTAATCAATCAATTTCTTGGAACTTTGAAATATATTCTTGATGATAGAGATTTTACGGAGTTAGTGTCACTTCTAACCTTGATAAATGAGTTCAGCTTGTGACATGAATCGAGTGATAAAAAAAGTGGATTCTTGAGTCTTCGAGAATATTCTCATGTAATTCATTTTTTGATAAATTGATTGATTATCCTTCACACACTGTGTTTTCTCTCTCTATGATAATTTGGAAGGCTAAGGTGCCCATACAGGTGTTGGTTTGTACAAGGACTATAACTCATAGTAAGATAAATATCAATGATGTACTTTAGAGAAGAAGACATTTTCTTTGCATTTCTCCATAATGGTGTGTCATTTGTACATGTGCTAATGAGACTATTGATCATTTGCTTTTGCATTGTTCTACTATTTTGTTTTTGTGGACCAAATTGTTTCAATTAGCAAGTCTGAGTTGGATGAGTTCAAGGTCGTTTTCCTCTATGTTAGTGGAGGAATCTGAGGGACTAGGAAAGCATAAAAAAGGAGTAATTCTATGGCATTGTGCAATTTTGGCCACTATATGAGTAAGATGAATGGAAAGGAATTCAAGAATATTTGAGGAAGGAAAGTTTTTGGGATCGCATTAATTTTTGGCGGCGTTGTAGGCTTCTGTTTCTAAGGAGTTTGATGGCATTCCGCTTTTTTGTATCTTGGCAGATTGAAAAGCGTCATGTGATACATAGTTTTTATGTGCTGAGATTTGTCTTTTTCGTTGTATAGATGGACATCTCATTCATCCATATTTTCTTTTATGTATCATTTGTACCATTTTTAAGTTAATAAAGTTTTCGTGATTCCAATCAAAAAATAAAAATAAAGCAAAAATTAGAGGCCTACTAATGCAGAAACAACATGCTATTCATCAAGTTTTCAACCCTAAATCACTCTTTTTTGCCACTATAAACAAATAAAAAGGATTTCCAAGAAAAAAGTATAAAATCAAATAATAGAACCTCTCCCCTTTCGCCTTCTATCAAAGAGTAGTATAGTAGCCCAACTCTCATCACTACCTCCCAAGCAACTGCAACAAGCATTGATTTGATAAGGACTTTTCTCTCCCTTTCCAATCAAAGTTCTCTCTCTCTTTGTTATCGCATGTCGAATTCTAAGCCTCAAACGAAAAGCATCACAAAATGAGTGTGTCACACCTACCAAATAATAAAGTGTTATAATTATATTTTTTTTTATATATTATATAGTTGATGTGATAAAAACGACGGTGGGTGTTGGTCCTATATGACTAGAATAATATAAACATAATAATCTATCTAATATTACANTAACGAAAAGCATCACAAAATGAGTGTCACACCTACCAAATAATAAAGTGTTATAATTATATTTTTTTTATATATTATATAGTTGATGTGATAAAAACGGCGGTGGGTGTTGGTCCTATATGACTAGAATAATATAAACATAATAATCTATCTAATATTACAATTAAGAAATTGAATCCTCAACTTATAAAAGCAAAATGGCTAAGATTGATCAAATTTTCATTTACTTTGATCCAATGGTACAAAATTAATAACAATTTTTTTTCATGCTCATAAACATCATGGCCTTTAATACCAAACAACACAACCATCCCAATGACAAACAACCTCATTAATCCACACCAGCCTCTCTCGTCTCTCTCCCCTATCCCTCTTTTATTTTCTCTCTATTCAATTTAATTTTAAATTGCATAAATAAAAAAATGAAATACTATTTACAATATAAATATTGCACAATCAATATTCGATTTTTTGTATTATATAATGTTTTCAAACATGGGATTATTGCTAGTAGTGTATATGACGTGAGACTGTCTATGGTTACCTAGAATATAATATTTATGAGAAAATTCTTCATAACTAGTACATAATCATATGTCATAATAAATAAATGATATATATTCACTAAAACTTCTCAATAATGTGTTCTCATAAATAAATCAACATTTTTTCTAGGCATGTTTTTGAATATTTATAATTAATTGAAAAAATCACATGAGAATTATAATTTTGAGTCTCAACGACCATCGTTATTCAATGTGACAATGATCCTAGCTCAATATGTTCCTAAATGCTACCATTGAACACTAATAACCAAAAATATTTCTAACGTCGCATTTATAATTTATCTTTACTATATTTAAAGTGTTAGATGATGTCCTTTGGACCGATAATGCATTCAATAGTTGTTTATATTTATTTAAAAATTTTCATATTTTTTCAGAATTTCAAAATTTTTTAGGCTCTTTATTTTGAGCGTATCTGCTGATACAGTGTCGCGATATCGTGACCAATGTGTATCAGTCTCCTCCGAATCAATGACCAATAGGTCCAATACCAACACCACTATCATCATCTGCTACCACCCACTACCGTCATTCTCATAACCAATATCATTGTCACCACCACCACCATTATTGTCACCACATGAGTGTGTGCATTCNCAATACCAACACCACTATCATCATCTGCTACCACCCACTACCGTCATTCTCATGACCAATATCATTGTCACCACCACCACCATTATTGTCACCACATGAGTGTGTGCATTCGAGAATATGTTAATTTACAAATACGTGTTTGTTGTTGTGTGACGCCCCAAAATCTAGGGGTCCTTTCTCAACCGGTGATCACTCATCAACCCGCAAAAAATACCCGTAAATATCATATAACTCGACACCACGTCGTTACATCCCCTTCACGGGGTTCCTATCCAAAACGGAATTCGGACAGAATCTCCCTTGCACAAAAATATTACCCAACACATGTCCTGTTCACGTATTAATCGTATGACCATTCCAAGGTTCAAACCCCATCAATTAGGACTAAATATTTAACCAATTACATCATTCAAATGAAAGAACTCAAAAGGTAAAGGGGATGTAACGACGATGTGTTGGATTATACGGCATTTACGGGTACTTTCACGGGTTGATGGATAATCAACGAGTTGAGAAAAAATCCCCGAATTTTGGAGCGTCACAGTTTAGTATCAAAACATAAGTATTAGGTCTTTTATATGGGCGTTGTAGAAAGTGAGTTTATCACCTTCTACCATAAGCGTGAAAAAATTTAAAGTTGATGGTGTAATTTAAGATCTGATAACCGTCACAGGCTAACCATCCAAATGCACTCTTTTGTAGTGTTCTTATTTAAGTGCTCTTTTTACAAAACATTCAAACGATGCTTATTCAATGAAAATGTTTTTTCCCCCTAATAAAGCACTTTTGATAAATACTTGTTTAAGAAGTATTATTTGAATTTCATGTCATCCCAAATGACACATAAGTCTCATAGGCATTTGCATGCTAAAGAGACGATTTATAGAATCTTGCAAATATCTAATTCACTTTCATCAACAAAAATTTTTCTGGACTGGGTATCTAAACTGGACTTTGTTGTTTTTCTCCACCTATTCCTTTAATCATTCACCTCTTACTCAATGAAAATCGCATGAAACATTTTCCCAGAACGAGTATTAATAAATTGTACATATGTTAGAATTTCAGTCCAAATTGAAGCTAATCTCTATTATTACTGATGTTTTGAAGATTACATATACAAATATAAAGTTTATAAAGTTTTTAAATAAATGTTGAATTCAAAATGGAGACTTTACTTTGATTTTTATTAATAGAGGTCAAAACCTTAAAGTGGTGACAAAAACACCATAATCAGTGCTTGGAGAATGAAAATCATCATGAAAAGTATATATTAGCCAAGCGAATAAGACATCTGAGTATGAAGTTAGGGTCTGTCAAAGTATGGAAGCTCTATTTGATTAAAGCAACTCTGCCAAGAGGCATATGTAATAAAATACATTTATTTAATTGCATAGATGATTTTAGTTTGCATATTCATAAAAAATAATCATCCAACTCGAGGCTTAAGAGTTCAACTTAACTAAACAACGCAATCACCCTAACTTCTTGGGGTCAGCTGCATGGATCCTTCTTCTCCTATCAACTATTTGTCCAACTAGTAAAATCCTAGGATATGTTCGTAGGATGCGACTGCAAGTTTTGTACGCCAGCTGTCTATCACAAACATGATCAATTCTCCAAGCTTGGCACCACCTTGGTATACAATNTTGGAAGCTCTGTTTGATTAAAGCAACTCCGCCAAGAGGCATATGTAATTAAATACATTTATTTAATTGCATAGATGATTTTAGTTTGCATATTCATAAGAAATAATCATCCAACTCGAGGCTTAAGAGTTCAACTTAACTAAACAACGCAATCACCCTAACTTCTTGGGGTCAGCTGCATGGATCCTTCTTCTCCTATCAACTATTTGTCCAACTAGTAAAATCCTAGGATATGTTCGTAGGATGCGACTGCAAGTTTTGTACGCCAGCTGTCTATCGCAAACATGATCAATTCTCCAAGCTTGGCACCACCTTGGTATACAATAAGACATACAACGCAAAATGCACACGGTTTCAACTCCCCCCGCCCCCACTGGGACCCCAAAAAAAATGGAACAGAACAGGAAAAAAAAGCATGAATAGCGAAATACCTTTCCAACCATGTGAACATCAGAAAAGGAAGTTTGCGGANTGGTTTCAACTCCCCCCGCCCCCACTGGGACCCCAAAAAAAATGGAACCGAACAGGAAAAAAAAACATGAATAGCGAAATACCTTTCCAACCATGTGAACATCAGAAAAGGAAGTTTGCGGAGGTCGCCTCGTAAGCAAAATAAGGTCATTTTCCAAACAGGTTCTAGATCCTGTAGAATCAGCTTCATCGTGGACACAACGAACAATATGAAAGTCATCAACTCTTTCAACTGACAGCACAGATAGAATGCCACAACACATCTCCTCAGAAGAAGTCATCTCCACAAAGGAATTTCGTAGCTGTGCTTTAAACTCTTCAACTACCAGTGGCCGGAAAATGTCCACATATTCATCAGGTGATTGAAAACAAACAGGAACCTGTTTTAATTTGCTAATGCTTTGATTCTCCTCTTCACTTGCAGATGCTAATCCCACCATTGCAAAGTAGTCAATCTGCAGAATGGGTTTATACCAGTCATCAAGCCTTGGAGGCTTGAATCTTTTAACCACACCCTCTAGTCTTTGCAAATGCCCAGATCTACTTTCTGCAGGTACATTGAGTTGAATGACTTGTCTTTTAGGACCAGCAGTGCTTAGTTTTGTCACATGTGATGGTTGACGCTTATAACATTTCAGTGCAGACTCGCATGGATTATCTTCACATACGTACTCTTTAATGTCTATATCAGTTCTTTCTGAAACCTTACTGCTGCTTTCTTGCTCCATAATTTTGGAACTCAAAGTTAACTCATATGATTTCTTCAAATTTGACACATGCTGGCATGGGAAAATATCAATACTTTTGGAACTGACAGTTTTATCAGACAAGTTCATCAAATTAGATTTCTGGAGAGATGGAAAAGAATCATTCACTTCACATCTGGAATTTATTTCTTTTCTTATACTGTCTACAGATTGTGACTTGACAAAAGAAGCTGGTCCTAATCCACCTTCCAGCGTGTCTGAGTCCAGCTTCTGAGAAACAGAACCAGCACTAACAAGAGTTGTTTGTTGAAAAGCATCCAATAGATTAGTTGAAATGTGAATGCTGGAAGTGTCCTTTGGTAGGTCTTCACGCGGAACTCTTGGAGCAACACCAGGAGCCATTGTTTTGCACTCTTTCATACACTGATTTGATCCAGGATGAGAACCATTATAGGTGGATATTTCCTTGTCCATCTCATCATCCAAAAGAACCACCACATTTTCACTGTCTTTCTTGTTAACCATGAAAGCAGACCCCAAAATCTCCACGTCTGCATTGTCCAAGCGGAAAGGTTCTATGTCTTCAGATGAAAACTTCCCCTTCAATNTGTCCATCTCATCATCCAAAAGAACCACCACATTTTCACTGTCTTTCTTGTTAACCATGAAAGCAGACCCCAAAATCTCCACATCTGCATTGTCCAAGCGGAAAGGTTCTATGTCTTCAGATGAAAACTTCCCCTTCAATGATAAGCCTTCAGAAAAAAATGGTTTTGCGTTTGAATTTGTTTTCTCAAATCTATAAGAACCATCATCGGTTAATGAAACGGAAAGGCGTGACACTTGTTCTGACAATTCATCCATTGCAACACTACCTACATTCCAAAGCCATAAGACAAGGAAAACATGGCAAAACATTAGTTAAAGACAGCACTGATAATTAAAGACCAATAAAAAATGAAAGAGAAAACACAAGAAATAAAATAACAAACTCACCACGTGAAATAATTTTTTCAATAACTCTGATCACTGATGAAGAGTTACCACTATATGCTTCTTTAAGCAAACCTAGCAAAGAAACCACTGTCTGCTTCCAATACCTAACCACGACTGCAAGTGTTGACTTCCCCCAATCCACCAAATCTTGAAGCCACAAAAAATCAATTCCATTTTCCACCTTCATGCTTGAATGCCCAGATATTTTGCGGAAGTTTGGGCGAAGCCTTTCGAAAAGAACAGGTAGGATCTCCAGTAAACGGATACAAGTCATCTGAAAAACAAAGGAAAACTGCACACTCAATGACACCATAAGTTGATGCAGCACAGATGAGGTCTAGAATTCTGAGCTAAATTTGAATCACCAAATCCACAAACCCTATAAAACTTATTAGTCAGCTCACAATATCAAGAGTCCAATCAAATAATTAGCTATTCAAAGCCAAATACATGCAGTCTCACTATAAAAGAGCATCAAAACTCAATGTTGCCTTCAGACTCCCAAGGAGAAGTTTCGTAAGAGTTAAGAAAACAATAAGAAAAAAATCTCAAATATATAATTAACCATCTACCACCCAGAAAAGTAATTACACGGGCACAAAACAACTGAAGAGTTCAATCAGCATGTATAATTTTTGACATAGCAGCATCTGCTGGGGTTCTGCTCCGCCCCAAACACAATCCGAGTCAAAGGTTCATACATCTGTGCACCTATGACTGCATAGTGTATTTTGTTCGTGCTGTTTACAAAAATAATGCCTTTAGTAATATGTCCTGATAAGGAACATGAAAGTCATATTATCTTTCAAGCACAATTAGAAAGAAACAAAAGTCATAGATATGCACTGGACAACAAAACTGATATGTTCTGTGCACATCAAACAAATAACCAAGAGTTGACAAAAAAGAAGCTAAATAATAGAGGATCCAAAAACAGAAAAAAGGTCTGCAGTCGTACCTGTGATATCTTGTGGTCCATAAATCCCTTCCCTTCTGCCAAGCACTTCCGTATAGAAGGCCATGCTACTTCTGACAGTACGAAAGTAAACTTGTCCCAATAATTGGAATCAACAGTTGACAAATGTCCATCAAAATTATCAGCCAGAGAAAAGACGACTGGCTGCAGAAATCCACCTTCAGAAGAAAACTTTGAGACAGCTAAGTTATCTGAAGAATTTTCGGGTGGGGTCTGAGTGGATATAACTCCTTCCTTCAGTAGTTTGCACAGAACAAAGAAGAAGTGATGTAAAGTCTGAAATTGCGACAGAACAGCATCCAGCTGAACCTGGAAAAAGTCAAAGCAGGGCATGAGCTTGGTGACAAATATCTAATGAAACAGTAATTAATTTTCAGTGCCATTTGGATGCAATAGTAGGGAAAAAGGCACTCTATCATGAAAGTCAAAATAAATCCAATGGACCTGTCAATCTGTTCTCATGCAGTAACGGGCACCAGATATTTGACTTCTCCATGCTGTTAATTTTTCTTTTTTCAAAATAGGCACATTTAGTACCCAAAAATAGGAGATGAAACAGTGACACGTTTGCTCACTAAGTTGATACCCAATATTGGCCGTTGTACAAACTATGTACAAACTAATCATCAACCAGGAGAGCATTAAAAGCAGCAGTCAGTTATTGTGAAGCCAGTCCATGTTCTCTTCCAGGTTTAATATGTATACCAATTACCAAATAAGGCATATATTAAGCAGAAAGTTGATAAATTTTGACAAAATAACTGCTTTTGACAGGAAATATATAATATACCAGGTTTAAAGCATGTCTCAACCCTAAAAAAATGGCAGTCAGAGCAGATGAAGAGGAGCAAAGGAACTGCAAACCACAAGCAAGGCCGCGCAAGTTCGAAACTTGTTCAAGGATACGCCTGCCTGCTTGCCTAGCATCCTGCGTGAAGCCACAAAAAAAAAAGGGGATTCCCAACGTCAAAGGAATACAATCATGCGCATGAAGATGGCAGAGCAAGAGAGGGTCATGCCATCACTATAGCCAAAAGTATAAATGAGATGATGTGTGTGTATTTTTGTACATCGTTAGGATCCACAAGCAAAAGGATCAAGCTTTCACCCATCCTGGGTTCCCAGGTCCACTGCCTCCGAAGCTCCCCTTGCTCCATTTTAGCAATGAAATGGACATTTAACCTGTAAAATGCCTTTAGTCAAAGGTCATGCTTGTGCACGTTCTCTCACCTCACTAATTCATATACATCTAATAGAGCCATCTTATTATAATAGCCAAATTACAAAGACTTAGTATAAAAGTACCACTAACCTTTTGAATGTTCTAATTAAAGGAATACACATTTTTGAGACTTTTGTTGAGTTTTTAGATCCAGTTCCATCTGCACCATCGTCAGAACCAGAAGGAACCTTCCACCCAAATAAATGTGAGATTTCTGAAGCACGGATTGTCAACCAATCTCTAACAGTAAGAGCTATTTCTGTGCTGTTCTCAGGTTCTACCATAGACAAACGGGATAAAGCCCAAAAAACAGCCTTGGAAAATGATAACGGTAGGACTAATGGATCAATTTCAATTAAAACATCGGACCATAACATTGGAATGCACATCCATGAACCCAATTCCCTTGAGGTGATTTTATTCTGCACACTGAATTCATTCCAACAACTAATATCCTTATCTTCAACATCACAGGGAAACAGAAGCCCTTCATCGTCGTCATCATTGATCCCAGCCAACATGCTTCTATCAAGACTTGGAGGTGTATGGAAGTTGATTATTGAAGTTACTAAGGCAGCAGCATCAGACACTATAATAGTTTGGATAAGATCAAAGGCAGGTTGTCGAAGAGAAAAGTGAAGTGATGAATCCTTCAGAGAAGACACAAGAGAAGGTCCCCTGTCCAATAAAATAGCTGAAGTCACAAAACTTTCAACCAATCATTTCACCTGAGTCATATGTTAATTTATGATTATCCAGCCATATTTTTGTATTCTAAATGACTTTGAGATTGTTTTCATAAAACTAATACTTTTTTGTTCATGCATTTACGCCTTACGATATCACTAATTTTCAAATAATCAAGAAAAGAAAAAAGAAAATCAAACGCCAAAGTCTTTGAAACACGAGGGACGTTGAGTCACCAAAAGTCGCAATCTCCATTCGATGTGGACAACACTGTTCACCAGTGACCATAACAAATCTCCCCTTCAGGGATGAGCACCACAATGAACTGCAGGATTCCTGTTGATTGTAAAACTCAAGTGTGGATCACCACTCTCGATATGCCCCCACCTCCTAAATGCTTTTTGGAACCAACTGCAACATGAGCTTGTACCTAGCTCTACACTCTTCTAGAACAAATGCTCTTGCACAAGTCACCACCTTACAATCACCAATTCACTTCGCAAGCAAGCTTCTCCACTAGCTCCAATAAACACATCAAAAGCCCCACAATATCCCAACACCTGATATTGTCCGTGTCATGCTCATCGAATCGCCACAGCTGTCCATTGCGACATACTCTCCAAGAACCCTCTAGAGAAGATTCACCAGAGCGGTTCACCAAGATAAGCACGAACAACAAGCAAGTTACTTCGAGATGCAGACCAGAGATTGCCGAATCATTGCCTATGATACCACTTGTTATGGGAGTCAAGGGAGGCCCCTGAGGCAAAATACATAAATTGGAACCCAAAAGCTTAAGCCAACAGATCCTGGTCCACCCTTGAATATTAGTCCTCATCCGATGTGGGACAACACTAGTGTCCCAACAGCCTTGCCATCATGTTTGTTCAAAGTGCACCTATTTCAGAATACCCCTTTTTTCTATGTTGATTTGCATCTAAGTCTCTCCTAGAGTCCAATACATTTTTGTTTATCTTCTTGTGCGAATTTCTGCCTTAAGGCCCTGAATAGGAAGGTAAATGAAAAATACCAAAACTAAAATTAAAGCATTTTCATTTAACTCCAAGTCCAGTCCCAACGCGATGTGAATCATAGAATGCACATAAGATACTAAACAACTTTTCAGTAAGACACGATGAATAGAAATCAGTGAAAGGCATATAGCATATTATGCAGTGAAGTCCTTTACACCTATAAAACCAAAATTGAGCTCGAGCTCAAAACTGCATACCACATGTGCGCACATTCAAAAGGTGGACATGGTGGGTTCATCTTGTAACCACGATGAACAATTTGAAGAGCTATCTGCAAACAGAATATTGAAGTAATTACCAGAAATTAACTTAGAAAAACGATTGTTTTCCATGTCAATCCACTCAAGACTGGTCAAATGACATGGATTTGCCTCAACGTTCTAAAAGATAAGAACAGAACCTGGCAAGCCTTTTTTCTCATCAGAATGCTGAAGTTACTGCTAACAGTCACTTGATGTAGGAGAAAATAAATAAAATGCCTCCTTTGCTTTTCATGTTCTCCGTCTTGCAAAGCTTCAAGAGACTGCACAGATGGACATTATGACAACAGTAATGTCAAAAGAAGACTTCTACCATGTACAGTGCCTTTCGAGAATGAAAAGTAGAGAAGAAAAGAATTATGGTAGAGGACTTGAAATCACAATGGCGGAATGATACACAGACATGCCTGCAGAAAAGGCCGGAAAAGATCAAAAATTTCTTTATGGATTTTCTCGTTTCGAGTATGAAAACACTGACCCAGTAGCGTGTTACGCATAACACTTGGAGACAATGTAGCCCTTAACCAAAGCTTACAACCTTGAAAAAGTCCATAAAAGAAAAAGAAAAGGTCATCTTTGTTGAACAAATAAATAACCACAGTACAGGGGGGAGAAAGACTAAAAGAAATCGTACCAAGCATTTCAAAGATTAGTCTCAAGCAATTAACTGCATAAGAAAATTCAAGTGAATCATCACTAATATGATTGAGTACAATACTCAGAAAAATGGGATAACGCTCCAATATCCCTTCTTCAAATGCTGGAGGCTCTAAAAGCCCAAGCCTTCACAATACATAAAGAAAGAAAAACAATTAGAAGAAAAAACTAAAAAAGATAACTACATCTNTACAATCACCAATTCACTTCGCAAGCAAGCTTCTCCACTAGCTCCAATAAACACATCAAAAGCCCCACAATATCCCAACACCTGATATTGTCCGTGTCATGCTCATCGAATCGCCACAGCTGTCCATTGCGACATACTCTCCANCACAATCACCAATTCACTTCGCAAGCAAGCTTCTCCACTAGCTCCAATAAACACATCAAAAGCCCCACAATATCCCAACACCTGAAATTGTCCGTGTCATGCTCATCGAATCGCCACAGCTGTCCATTGCGACATACTCTCCAAGAACCCTCTAGAGAAGATTCACCAGAGCGGTTCACCAAGATAAGCACGAACAACAAGCAAGTTACTTCGAGATGCAGACCAGAGATTGCCGAATCATTGCCTATGATACCACTTGTTATGGGAGTCAAGGGAGGCCCCTGAGGCAAAATACATAAATTGGAACCCAAAAGCTTAAGCCAACAGATCCTGGTCCACCCTTGAATATTAGTCCTCATCCGATGTGGGACAACACTAGTGTCCCAACAGCCTTGCCATCATGTTTGTTCAAAGTGCACCTATTTCAGAATACCCCTTTTTTCTATGTTGATTTGCATCTAAGTCTCTCCTAGAGTCCAATACATTTTTGTTTATCTTCTTGTGCGAATTTCTGCCTTAAGGCCCTGAATAGGAAGGTAAATGAAAAATACCAAAACTAAAATTAAAGCATTTTCATTTAACTCCAAGTCCAGTCCCAACGCGATGTGAATCATAGAATGCACATAAGATACTAAACAACTTTTCAGTAAGACACGATGAATAGAAATCAGTGAAAGGCATATAGCATATTATGCAGTGAAGTCCTTTACACCTATAAAACCAAAATTGAGCTCGAGCTCAAAACTGCATACCACATGTGCGCACATTCAAAAGGTGGACATGGTGGGTTCATCTTGTAACCACGATGAACAATTTGAAGAGCTATCTGCAAACAGAATATTGAAGTAATTACCAGAAATTAACTTAGAAAAACGATTGTTTTCCATGTCAATCCACTCAAGACTGGTCAAATGACATGGATTTGCCTCAACATTCTAAAAGATAAGAACAGAACCTGGCAAGCCTTTTTTCTCATCAGAATGCTGAAGTTACTGCTAACAGTCACTTGATGTAGGAGAAAATAAATAAAATGCCTCCTTTGCTTTTCATGTTCTCCGTCTTGCAAAGCTTCAAGAGACTGCACAGATGGACATTATGACAACAGTAATGTCAAAAGAAGACTTCTACCATGTACAGTGCCTTTCGAGAATGAAAAGTAGAGAAGAAAAGAATTATGGTAGAGGACTTGAAATCACAATGGCGGAATGATACACAGACATGCCTGCAGAAAAGGCCGGAAAAGATCAAAAATTTCTTTATGGATTTTCTCGTTTCGAGTATGAAAACACTGACCCAGTAGCGTGTTACGCATAACACTTGGAGACAATGTAGCCCTTAACCAAAGCTTACAACCTTGAAAAAGTCCATAAAAGAAAAAGAAAAGGTCATCTTTGTTGAACAAATAAATAACCACAGTACAGGGGGGAGAAAGACTAAAAGAAATCGTACCAAGCATTTCAAAGATTAGTCTCAAGCAATTAACTGCATAAGAAAATTCAAGTGAATCATCACTAATATGATTGAGTACAATACTCAGAAAAATGGGATAACGCTCCAATATCCCTTCTTCAAATGCTGGAGGCTCTAAAAGCCCAAGCCTTCACAATACATAAAGAAAGAAAAACAATTAGAAGAAAAAACTAAAAAAGATAACTACATCTGGAAATTTAAGTTAAAACACATTTTTTCCTACAATCCTTTGATTCCAAGCCATATAGTTAGCTGCTCAAGCTGCACCCTTGGCCTTAGAGTCTCAGTAGTCAATGGCAGGATGTCAGTCTCCAAAACGCTAATGCATTTCTTGAGCAAAGGCTGCAAAGGTTCCAAGTCTGATGCTCTCCTGCAGAGCAGTTGAAAAAGAAACAGAACTTTACCGGGACCCATGAGGCAATGAAATGGAAGACAAAATTACAAAAATGGAATATTATAATGTTTTCATAACAACTTGACAAAAGCTTTTGGATGGCATGCGCCTGCAATACTCATCTAGAGACCACAACGGATATATATCCTGTATGCTGCATAGTGTAACATTGTCACACGTGCACAGGCACGTATTCGACTGACCAATAGACAACAACTTCTACTGGGTGGATTCTGNCGCGCCTGCAATACTCATCTAGAGACCACAACGGATATATATCCTGTATGCTGCATAGTGTAACATCGTCACACATGCACAGGCACGTATTCGACTGACCAATAGACAACAACTTCTACTGGGTGGATTCTGAAATGATAAATAATGTATTTTCCTCATTCATTAACAAATGAAACTGGCATTGAATGGCCCCTTTCACGATAACCAAACTTAAAGAGATACCAACAGAGCTTTGATCTAGAATTAGAAGCAAATAACCTTATACCACGGTGAATTCAAATAAAATAAACAATAACAGTAATGGCAATGGCAAAAAAAATAAAAACAATAATAAAAGTTATCATTATGTCGTAGGACAGATAATTTGAGTCCAATTAACTCAAAAATAATTTAACCCAACCATTTTCATGTCTCCTACTTTTATCTTAGAAGAGTTGCTGTCTCAATACAATATGGTTTCCCAGGGACAAAAGTGTTGGGACAAACCTTAGTTGGTATAACTGGAATACATCATNTTATTGAAGTAATTACCAGAAATTAACTTAGAAAAACGATTGTTTTCCATGTCAATCCACTCAAGACTGGTCAAATGACATGAATTTGCCTCAACATTCTAAAAGATAAGAACAGAACCTGGCAAGCCTTTTTTCTCATCAGAATGCTGAAGTTACTGCTAACAGTCACTTGATGTAGGAGAAAATAAATAAAATGCCTCCTTTGCTTTTCATGTTCTCCGTCTTGCAAAGCTTCAAGAGACTGCACAGATGGACATTATGACAACAGTAATGTCAAAAGAAGACTTCTACCATGTACAGTGCCTTTCGAGAATGAAAAGTAGAGAAGAAAAGAATTATGGTAGAGGACTTGAAATCACAATGGCGGAATGATACACAGACATGCCTGCAGAAAAGGCCGGAAAAGATCAAAAATTTCTTTATGGATTTTCTCGTTTCGAGTATGAAAACACTGACCCAGTAGCGTGTTACGCATAACACTTGGAGACAATGTAGCCCTTAACCAAAGCTTACAACCTTGAAAAAGTCCATAAAAGAAAAAGAAAAGGTCATCTTTGTTGAACAAATAAATAACCACAGTACAGGGGGGAGAAAGACTAAAAGAAATCGTACCAAGCATTTCAAAGATTAGTCTCAAGCAATTAACTGCATAAGAAAATTCAAGTGAATCATCACTAATATGATTGAGTACAATACTCAGAAAAATGGGATAACGCTCCAATATCCCTTCTTCAAATGCTGGAGGCTCTAAAAGCCCAAGCCTTCACAATACATAAAGAAAGAAAAACAATTAGAAGAAAAAACTAAAAAAGATAACTACATCTGGAAATTTAAGTTAAAACACATTTTTTCCTACAATCCTTTGATTCCAAGCCATATAGTTAGCTGCTCAAGCTGCACCCTTGGCCTTAGAGTCTCAGTAGTCAATGGCAGGATGTCAGTCTCCAAAACGCTAATGCATTTCTTGAGCAAAGGCTGCAAAGGTTCCAAGTCTGATGCTCTCCTGCAGAGCAGTTGAAAAAGAAACAGAACTTTACCGGGACCCATGAGGCAATGAAATGGAAGACAAAATTACAAAAATGGAATATTATAATGTTTTCATAACAACTTGACAAAAGCTTTTGGATGGCATGCGCCTGCAATACTCATCTAGAGACCACAACGGATATATATCCTGTATGCTGCATAGTGTAACATTGTCACACGTGCACAGGCACGTATTCGACTGACCAATAGACAACAACTTCTACTGGGTGGATTCTGAAATGATAAATAATGTATTTTCCTCATTCATTAACAAATGAAACTGGCATTGAATGGCCCCTTTCACGATAACCAAACTTAAAGAGATACCAACAGAGCTTTGATCTAGAATTAGAAGCAAATAACCTTATACCACGGTGAATTCAAATAAAATAAACAATAACAGTAATGGCAATGGCAAAAAAAATAAAAACAATAATAAAAGTTATCATTATGTCGTAGGACAGATAATTTGAGTCCAATTATCTCAAAAATAATTTAACCCAACCATTTTCATGTCTCCTACTTTTATCTTAGAAGAGTTGCTGTCTCAATACAATATGGTTTCCCAGGGACAAAAGTGTTGGGACAAACCTTAGTTGGTATAACTGGAATACATCATTCAGGGACAAGATTTTGCAGACTTTGTATCAACCAACTGCATTGCAGCACTCTATGTACGAAAAAATAGTGGTAACCCAATTACAACTGTATCTCCCTTATCTTCATACCGTTCTATATATTTCTGCAAACAAATAAACCAATTTCCATAGAATTGTTACTAGCATTGGTACCTTACGTCTCAACATCTTCTTTGCCCTTTTTTATTTCATGATCACGGGATTCAACAAAAAATCCAAAGAGGCATATTCCAAGGTAGCTAAGCACTAATAATGTTCAAGTTGTTTGAAACCACAGATCCCATGGTACCTCAACAAACATGGTCAGTTCCAATCACATACCATCAAGGGTTATTGGGGAACATTGCCAATATTCTATCCATTATGACTGATAATGTCAACAAGGGAAAAGAAACTCAAATAAAAACAGAAAATTATTTATTTATTTTTAAAAAAAAAACATCAAGCTTTAATCTAGAACAAGACTACACCTGTCTTCAACCTCAAGAACATTCTCCGGGCTGATGTCAAATGGCTATACCTATATCTCTCTGGCTTGAGTATGAGAGATTGGATGTTACCTATGTTTTGAAAAGCACAAGACTATGCGCAAGGTGAGGTGAAGCGCACCTCAATGAGCCTAATGAAAGGTGACTTCACCTAAGGGCAGTCAAGGCGTAAGGCGTAAACTTTTTCACCCCTTAAATGATGTATTTGGGGCCAATGGATCTATTGACCTCTGATTTTTAGACATTTCTAATTTATAAACCTGTTACAGTGTTACCATTCACGTTTGTATTTGCATGTTCAATCGGATCCTCAAACTTAATTGCTTAATCGTTTGTGTATGTGATTGGTATTGGATCCTTGAGTTGCTTAATTGCTAGATTGCTCATGATTGCTTACTCATAATCAACTATTTAACTTGAAATTGTGGAATTGGTTCAATGGGGACATAGATGTTGACCCAAAGTAACAAAAAAGATCCAGCATAGAACTTAAGATGCTATATGATTTTTGGAATGCTTATGTCATGTTTTTGCTAAATCGTTATGCCTTTGCCCAGGTTAAAAGAATAGTGACTATTAAAACATTTTATTGTTATTTAAATGTGTGACTCACGTAGGGTTGTTTTCCCTAACCATGTTTAAGCTTTGTTGTACATCCATTTTTTTTATATATAAAATTTACCATTTGGTGCACCTTGTGCCTTAAAAAAAAAACTAGATACTACACTAATCACCTCTAAACAACCCCATCCCAAAGCAAGAGGATGAGTACTATCATCTTTTACCCAAGTCAAATTGTAGAATATCGCAACCTCGTTCTCTATTAGTAATAGCAGAACAAACAAAACATCGAAATCACATATGAATCCACTTCCCCGAAGCTTGGTTGCCAAGATAAAGCACCAGGAAAACAATACCTCAATTTTCCCACACACCCAGAAAGACGAAAGCCAATAGATCGTGCTCTTCTGCTTTTAAGAAAAAGTAATGCGTAAATTCCCTGATGAAGAAGATGATAACTACATTAAGGAAATAACTTCAATTCCAAGAATAACAGAATATGTATGTAAACAAATGATACAAAAATGAATGACCATTTTTATACCGGATACTGTTGATGTCCAGCCAAAGTCAGTTCATGAGAGTTATCAATTGCTTCAATAAATATTTGAAACTCGGTGACCAAAGATTGGTCATCCAACAAGATGGGGAACATCAAAACCTGTAATTCAATAGCCAAAATATTCTCACATGAGAATCAGAAAAATTATATTAAATGACCAGAGTAGAAGCAAAAGTTGAAATATTAAAATATTCCGGTGGAATTCCATTAACTAACACACTCATCTCAGTCACAATTTCTGTTTATCTCAAGCTTACCGCAATTCCATACAAGTCACAGTAAGTACTCTCATCTAAACGAGCACTAGACATATCCTCATTTCACACTGATATCTTTTTTTCTCATTAGATATGGAGATCCAATTTTATTCCATTTTCAAGAGTAAGAAAATAAAAAGATGACCTAAGGCTATTTCTCCAACAATCTTCTTTTCTCTACACCNAACATATCCTCATTTCACACTGATATCTTTTTTTCTCATTAGATATGGAGATCCAATTTTATTCCATTTTCAAGAGTGAGAAAATAAAAAGATGACCTAAGGCTATTTCTCCAACAATCTTCTTTTCTCTACACCTGCTTTTAAGCGTCAGGCAGCTTTTTGTGTGGTTACTTTTGTCGTTTTTGTCGTTATCTTCTTATTCCTTCAAGTATACTCTTAAAGGAGACCTCCTGCCCTGCCTTGTGTATTTCTTTTTTGTATCTCTATAACGAAAAACGGGTAATTGTAAAACAAATATGCATCATTGTTATTCAGACTATTGAGTCACCAGTGATCAATTTCCGTGCCTATGGAAAACAAAATAGGTAAGCATAACTACATCATTGTCATCCTCAAAAGTGAGCCTCCAGTGATTGTTTGTCATGACTCTACACATATCAAATACAGCATCTCAAACTAACAATTGGCGATCAAAATGCATGATCAAGCCAGCATTAACCTGTTATTATTTCCAAAACAAAAAATAATAACAATGAAAAACCACAAGCTTGACCTCAAACATGACACTGATAACTTCGGCATTGTTATGCACTGGATCATACTCTCCACTTGATATTCTAGCATTAATCTCCTTCAGGTGTTGGGTAACCCTTTCTTCATCAAGACACAGCAGCACATCAAGAAGGGGACCTATGGAACTCAACTCGTATTCCATTTTGTACATCTCTTCAGCTTGATGATGCTGGCAGATGCATCGCGTGCATTGTCGCATTTCCTCAGAAATCCTCTTCCATAGAAGCCTGAGAGGAGAATCGTGGCGCTCATCTTTAAAATAGTTGTAGAAGGTCTCTAGAAGAGGTCCCATCAAATCCCAAGAGCCACACCATATATGGTTTCCCTTTGGCAAATATATCAAGAAACTGAATGCATCTGAAAACCTAAACACAGAGCAGAAGCTACTTAGTTACATATAGACAGCCAAAAATGAGCTGAGAAATATCAACAAGAGCCACAAATATATCATTCACAATACAAGGAGTCTTGTCAAAGGCGAATTATTCGGACCTTTGCAAAAAGGTCTACGTGTCAATTTGAGTATGGCACAACCAGAATGAAAACCACTATCAGTTATATGAGAATCAGCGCATTTTACTTTTTTATGTTGCTGGCATCAGTGCTGAGAGAGCAAATTCAATCGGAATGACGCCAGCTGAGTGCAGGACATTTGAGGATAGAGTCACACAATTCTCCATTAAAAGCGTGCACATACAATTTCCAAAAAAAGCATTTTGTAGGTGACAGAGTCACAATTCTCCAGTCATTTCTTCCACCAATTGGAATAATGAATTGAGGCTCAAGAAGAGCAATGAATGATAAATGCATCTTTATAAGCTTGGCAACCCTCTTCCTGAAAAATGGAACCCCCACTAAAATAAAAATAGAGATGAAAGTGATAAGATTTTCATCCAAGTAAAAAGGTTAGATGCCTCTCCTCCAGACCAAAACATTTCCTTTGAATATATGTGGTTCTGAGATTTAACTTCCGCAACTATTTGACTTTAGGAAGTCCTTATCTGAACAAAACATTCTCAAAGTCTCTGGCTCATGACCAGAATCCAAAACTAAAAGACTCTAGAATCAAATATCAAGAGAGCAATGGATCCAAGAAGGTTTGTAAACAAAAAACTAGATTCATTCATCTTAGTTGTTTAGTAAATTCAAAACAATCTAATTGACGCGCTTTATAAAAAATTCCTGAATTACCCCAATATTTTCGTATATGTTCACCTATTTTGAGAGTTATTCAGCTGCATCGGAATAACTGATGATCAATATGACCAATCAAAAGATGAAGCAAACAAAGCAATGCAACATAGGACACGCCAGGAAGTACGAACCATTCCTCTTTGAGCTGGCGGACACGACGTCGTTTAGAAGGGTCAAAAAAATGATTGTCATCATTGTCTTCTTCTTCGATGGTCTTCCATCTGTCCAATAGCTCTCTTCTGGTTAACACCGGCTTCGCCATAATAATCTCAGGGCTCTGATCTTGTTATCAGCCGTTCATTGAAGTTGGCGATGAAAATTAGGGTTTTCGGAGATAGACTACAACGGACAACCGGTCGCGGTAAGGGGAAAGCTTTTTCAAAAGGGCAGGAAAAAAAAAAGTAAAGCCGAAAAGAAACAGAAAACGGCGCGCGGGAAAAAGGGAGGGGGTGGGGGGGGTGTAACTTGGACGAGCGCTGGGCAAAAATACAGCGGCACGATTAGACAGATATATGAGAATGCGCGAGCAATTAACGATTAGGAGAGCCGTTGACGGAGGTTGCTCCATTTTGGAGTTCATTTGAGAAGATAATAACATGGCTAATTGCACCTTTCACCCTAAAAAATCTAAGTAATTTTACTTTGTATACTTAAATATTAAATTTATCATATTATATCCTCAATATATTTAAAATATTATAATTTAGTCCACCCATTAATTTTTGTTACTCATTCCATCAACATCAATAAAGAGGTTTTAACATAATAAACAACAAAAATTAACAGAGTTGTCACAATGCAACACTTTTTAATATATTGAAAATAAAATGGAAATAATTTAAAAGACAAATTATATCCACCTCCCCTAAGGTTTGATTAAATAACAACTAAACCCTCCTCTTATTAGGAAAATAATAATGACCTCCCATGTCAGTCACTTTCGTCTTAGTTGTCTAACATAAGTTATGAAATGACAAAAATACCCTTTAGTCAAAATATCTATATAATAAAATAGGAGTGTGTTTGAATTTTATCTCAGTCATATTTTTTCCCTCAAAACTATCACCAATCACTTACTTCACTCATCTTCCCTTTGTCAGACTCAAACGTCAAATCACATCACTCATTTCTATCACATATTTAATTATTTATATATTTTTTCCTAAAAATATCACATCATTCATTTTTATCATATATTTAATCATTTAATATTTAATTAATTTGTAGTTAATATATTTTGAAAAAATTTAATATAGTGGGATTAATTTTTTAGACACTCAAATTTTATATTTTATCGTGCTTTCAGGCACGAGTTATGATTAGTATATATATATGTTTCATGTTGTAAGATTAGTTTTTTGTTGATTTCACTAAAAACCAATCTCACAATGGCACATCATCACCTTGTTTTTTTGCCTTATTTTAAGAACACAAATAGTGTCAAACGACATAACCACCACCATATTTTTTGTCATCGTCATTGCCAACATACCACCACTCTCACTACAACTGCCAAAAAACCATCACAACAAAATCACATAGAGGCACGCAAGTTGTGAAGCAAAAACCACCACGTCTTTGTATCCTCTATCCAATTTCTCTTGAAATGGAAACATCACAAACGCTAACTGTGTTTACGAGTGGGAGCCAAAAAGCTTTGATATTGACAATGATAGTTGTGGTTCGCAAGTGGTAAGGGTTGCAATTTAGCCTTTAGGTCCTAGATTTTGATTATAGGTGAGAGATAAAAGCTAGGGATTGGGCTCTGTTGGGGGAGTTCGAGAATGGTACCAAGGTGGTTCAGTCGAATGGTGGGCAATGGCAATTATGGTGGTAAAGGTTTGCAGTAGAGAGCACTTGGGAGGTGGAAGGAGGGGAGAAGTGGGGCTAGGTTTTTTAGAACTTACTCTTGAATTTTATGTGCTTGTATGTGTAGTGAAGAAGGGTGGTGAGGTTATTGTGAAAGAGAGAGAGAGGGGGATAAAGGAGGAGGCGATGGCGATGGCGAAGGCTGAAAAGAAATTGGGGCCATGATGGGTTTGATACAAATGGGATAAATTAATGGGTTTTGTTTGGAAACTAGCATAATCTAAATCTAAGGTGGATATTTTATGTTTAGTAATATATGTGGGATGTAGAAGGGTGAAAATGGTAGTTTGAGAATATAAATTAATTATGTCATCAAAAATTAACTGTTTCTTGACGGAATATTAATGGGAGGAGGGATATATTACCAACAACTAAAATATAAGAGAGTGCAATGTTATTATCCAAACAAGAGGGGATTTAATTGTTATTTGATCAAATTTNGTAGTCCACCCATTAATTTTTGTTACTTATTTCATCAACATCAATAAAGAGGTTTTAACATAATAAACAACAAAAATTAACAGAGTTGTCACGATGCAACACTTTTTAATATATTGAAAATAAAATGGAAATAATTTAAAAGGCAAATTATATCCACCTCCCCTAAGGTTTGATTAAATAACAACTAAACCCTCCTCTTATTAGGAAAATAATAATGACCTCCCATGTCAGTCACTTTCGTCTTAGTTGTCTAACATAAGTTATGAAATGACAAAAATACCCTTTAGTCAAAATATCTATATAATAAAATAGGAGTGTGTTTGAATTTTATCTCAGTCATATTTTTTCCCTCAAAACTATCACCAATCACTTACTTCACTCATCTTCCCTTTGTCAGACTCAAACGTCAAATCACATCACTCATTTCTATCACATATTTAATTATTTATATATTTTTTCCTAAAAATATCACATCATTCATTTTTATCATATATTTAATCATTTAATATTTAATTAATTTGTAGTTAATATATTTTGAAAAAATTTAATATAGTGGGATTAATTTTTTAGACACTCAAATTTTATATTTTATCGTGCTTTCAGGCACGAGTTATGATTAGTATATATATATGTTTCATGTTGTAAGATTAGTTTTTTGTTGATTTCACTAAAAACCAATCTCACAATGGCACATCATCACCTTGTTTTTTTGCCTTATTTTAAGAACACAAATAGTGTCAAACGACATAACCACCACCATATTTTTTGTCATCGTCATTGCCAACATACCACCACTCTCACTACAACTGCCAAAAAACCATCACAACAAAATCACATAGAGGCACGCAAGTTGTGAAGCAAAAACCACCACGTCTTTGTATCCTCTATCCAATTTCTCTTGAAATGGAAACATCACAAACGCTAACTGTGTTTACGAGTGGGAGCCAAAAAGCTTTGATATTGACAATGATAGTTGTGGTTCGCAAGTGGTAAGGGTTGCAATTTAGCCTTTAGGTCCTAGATTTTGATTATAGGTGAGAGATAAAAGCTAGGGATTGGGCTCTGTTGGGGGAGTTCGAGAATGGTACCAAGGTGGTTCAGTCGAATGGTGGGCAATGGCAATTATGGTGGTAAAGGTTTGCAGTAGAGAGCACTTGGGAGGTGGAAGGAGGGGAGAAGTGGGGCTAGGTTTTTTAGAACTTACTCTTGAATTTTATGTGCTTGTATGTGTAGTGAAGAAGGGTGGTGAGGTTATTGTGAAAGAGAGAGAGAGGGGGATAAAGGAGGAGGCGATGGCGATGGCGAAGGCTGAAAAGAAATTGGGGCCATGATGGGTTTGATACAAATGGGATAAATTAATGGGTTTTGTTTGGAAACTAGCATAATCTAAATCTAAGGTGGATATTTTATGTTTAGTAATATATGTGGGATGTAGAAGGGTGAAAATGGTAGTTTGAGAATATAAATTAATTATGTCATCAAAAATTAACTGTTTCTTGACGGAATATTAATGGGAGGAGGGATATATTACCAACAACTAAAATATAAGAGAGTGCAATGTTATTATCCAAACAAGAGGGGATTTAATTGTTATTTGATCAAATTTCATGGGAAGTGGATGTAATTAAAACGATAAAAATAAAAAATCTTAAATATTTCATGGTATAAAGTGAGACTCTCCCATAAAAATATGGGAGTGATGAGAGAAAAGTTATAAACAATTGTATATAATTATGGACAAATATTTACAATAAGAGAGTAGACATATATTATTTATTCATCTAATATTACTGTTAATAAGTTAAATTCTCAATTAATAAAAACACAACAATAATAAAAATTGATTCATTTTTTATCTACTTTGATTTAATAGTAAAAAATTCATTCAAAAATATCATTTTTCTCTACACAACCTGCATTTTGAGAGGCAATAAGCATGTCAGTATTTCAAAACAAAAAAATTGAGCAAGAACAGGTTAAGTGGGATAACTTCATGAAATGCATTAAATTGATGTGTGTGTATGTGTATCTGGTACGTGAGATGGCTTGGTGTGTGTGTGAGAGAGAGAGAAAGAGAAAGAGACAGAGAATACTGACTCGGATTTAATGCAGTCGAAAGTCGTTGGAGTTAGAGAAGAATGCGCGTGTTGGAATCAAATTGTGTGTANGAAAGAGAAAGAGACAGAGAATACTGACTCGGATTTAATGTAGTCGAAAGTCGTTGGAGTTAGAGAAGAATGCGCGTGTTGGAATCAAATTGTGTGTATGTGTTTTGTCACATGAGTGTGTGGAAAACAAGAAATATAAGAGATAGGGGGATGACAGAGATCAAACAAGAAGAAAGAAAGATTGCATAAGTGGAGGTGATGGGTATGGGTGGCAACATGATTTTGGATGGTAATTNTATGTGTTTTGTCACATGAGTATGTGGAAAACAAGAAATATAAGAGATAGGGGGATGACAGAGATCAAACAAGAAGAAAGAAAGATTGCATAAGTGGAGGTGATGGGTATGGGTGGCAACATGATTTTGGATGGTAATTTTATGTTGTTAGGTTAAATTTTTGGATGAACCCTGATGATACTAAAAAAATACTTAGCTCACGTCAGAAGACAACTCAACTTATGCCAAGCAGTTAAGCACCAACTAACCAACCTAACAATATAACTTCAAAAGATGATAAATATTATGGAAGAGTTCAGAAGGGGTAAAAAAAGACTTTCCCCATGAAACCCTACCTTGAGCATCAAGGCATCACCTCTCCAATGCCACATCATCGCTTCTAGAAGACCACGTGTCATATGGATACATGATTGTCTCTAACAGTCCAATATTCCCAGATAATTTTAACGGATTTGATTGAAGTGGACTGCACCAATCTTGGATAAGGACAAAAGATAACTTGTATAAATAGAAGAAGATCCCTATGAAAAAAGAATGGAACCTTCTGC